CGAAGTAGGCTGCAGCTCCTTCTCGGTTTTGACCCCATATGAGGTCCCAGATGTGATCTGGGATTGGAATTCGGGGGGCCGAGAAACCCATTTCTCCAGAATGCAGAGTCAGGAAAGAAGGGAAGGACGACGATGGAGCTTGATTAGCCTTGGTTGTCTCAGCATCGTCCTTCTCAGAGGAGTCAAGTACTATGACCTCCTCTTCTTCAGGGGTGAGGACGAAAGCCTCAACCTCTCTTGCGATATCTGCCGTGAAGCCTTCAGCACTTGACATCACGGCATCTTTATTTTCGTGCTCAGCAACACTCTCCTTGATTTCTTCTTGGACCCCTCCCTTAGGTTCGGGAGTTCTCTGATCCACCTCCATCTCAGGAGGTGGCGGAGGGGTCTTTTGAGGAGATTGGGGTGTTGGCTGGGGAACCCTCGGCGATCCATTGCCTTCCTCAGGTTCCCTTATTGCGACGCCGATGGTCATCGGCCTCTGCTGAAAATCATGAGGGCCGATGATGGCCATCCTTCGGCGCCTTTTCAGAAGGGGCTGCTCGTCCATATCTGAGTCTGAAGACTCTTGTATTTGGTCTTCGGGACGAACAGGAGCTTTGCCTTCTCTGTGTCTGTTACTCTCTTCAGACTGTAACAGACAGGGGGGAAGAAGAGTGTGAGTAAAAAAAAAAAAAAAAAAAAAAAAAAAAAAGAAGAAAAGAAAAAAGTTGTCTGAAAGCTCACCGAGGTTTTCAGCAAAGCCTCGTCTTCTTCAGCTGCTCTAGCTGCAGCTTCGGCCTCAGCAGCTCTGGAGGACCCTTCTCCTCCTTCACAAGCCTCAAGTACCCGTGCAACCTCTTCGGCTGTGCGGGCAGCTTCAGCTTCTTCGTTCAGCAGCTGAAACCAAGGGTCTCTCTTCTTCCACCAAGGCTTCTGCCTCTGATACAGAGCAACAGCCTCAATTTGGAAGTGGGAAGAGTCCAGATGAACTTCCCTATGCCTCGGCTCAGTGATAGACGGGGCCCGTTCAGTTACAACTCGCTCTCGGTTAACACCAAGACGAGTGTAGTTAATACCAACGTTGGTCTCGTCCCGCTCTGAAAAAAGGAAAGGGAAAAAGTTTAGCTCAGATATGTTGGCACAGCATAAAAAAGCAAAGCGAGAGAAGAAAAAGAGGTAGTTAAAAGCCTCGGCCCCAGCCGAAGAAGCTTACCATCCTTAAACTTTCGGCTGAGGCCAACAGCTGCTAGCATGTTCTCTTGGAAAACGTAATGCGTATCGGGGAGCCAAGTCTCCGGGATATGCTGCATTCGACCACTTCCCCCCGGGTTCGGCAGCTTGCCGAAGATATGTTGCTGATCCAGGTTCGGATCCGCCCCGTTATCTGCGGGGGGACCTAGACTTCCCATTTCGGGATCAGGCTCAGCTAAGTACCGGGGAGCGCTGAAGACGCAAGGGTGGCCCGGATCTGTGGGTGCCCTAACCCAAATCCATTGACCTCTCCAGTCCTTGTCTGAAGAGTCATTTGGCCACATGGTCAAGTATTGGGGCCGGGACTCAATCCGATACCACCCAGAACCATGGCTTCCGTGCCCACTCTGAATATTTGGCACTAGCCGATGGAGCTTTCTGAAGCAGTGCAGGTTCGGCACGTATTTGAAGAACTTGCAGACCCATAAGTATGTCATCACCCTTCGGATGCTGGTGGGGGTTAGCTGACATAGGGAAATGTTGTAATGGATCAGCAAGTCTCGGACGAAAACGTCCAAAGGGAACCTCAGCCCATACTGAAGCTGTCTCGTGTACACCCCCACATACCCCGGGGGTGGACGATGGATTCTATCGGATGCTGAGGGCATTCGGCACCAATATCCATCAGCTTCAAAAATGCCGTAGTGCAACTCAATTTGCTCAGCAAATCGATATTGATCGGCGTTCTCTACCCACCATGAGTAGGGGCGGTTCTTTATCATGGCCGAAGCGACTTCGGCATTCTCCCACTCTGAAAACCCAGGGAGGATATCCCAAAGGACAGCGGGAATTTCATCGTCCAATCCAGAAGCACTCGGCTCATCCGTTCTTTGAGGAGGAGCCGAGGAAAGGGGAGTCGCCCTAATCCCTTCAGCAGGGTCAGACTCCGGCCTTTGACCATTCCAGGTCCCAATCCTATTCCTAGGATCGGGAATCGGCCTTGCTCTTCTTGGAGCACGGGCTCTACCTCTAACTCCTCTTGCCATGGATTATTTCGAAGAGAAAAGTCGAAAGAAAAGGGGAAGGAGTTCGAATTCGAAGAAAAATAAACTGAAATCAAAGGAATTTACCTTAATCTGAAGCGAAAGTTGCCGATTTACGAGTTCGTAGTGGCAAGTCTCAGTTTCTAAGCTCAATGCTCGGGGGAATTTGCGAAGTTTTGATGCGGGTTCTTGGTTTCTCTCTCGAAGAATTCTGGGTTTGTGTTGGTGAATAAGTGAGGAGAATGACGCGCCTCTGTTTATATCTCCAGGTACGGGATACGAAGAGTCTGTGCTTTAATTTCTCTTAAGTACCCACTAAGTAACCATTAAACACATGTCTTGTGATTAAACCGCCCATTATCCGTCCAACTTCCGCAAATCATTAACCGTTGTTATCTCATTAATTACGGTTTAAATTCAAATTTTTGGATCAATTAAATCATTTACTTCCCTCCTTTTCTGAGTTAAATCAAACCCGACCCGTCATTCTTCCAAATCGGGTCTGGGGGGCAAGTTGTTTGGGTCCAATTTAGTCAAAATTGGGCCTGAGCACTAAATGATCCAATTAAAAGCCCAAGGTCAAGGTTCAACTCTCCAATTGCTCAAAAGTCAAAAGTCAGCCCACAAAGTAAGCCAATTGGGCTAAAGCCCAACCTCTCCAAGTATGATGAGGTATAAAAGCCCTCATATTAACACATTCAAGGAGATCAGACACATTATCACATAATCACACATACATTATCACATACACTGATTATTCCAATTCATATGCTCATTCTTGCATTGAGAAATACTCCACAAAAGCCTCAAGCTACAAACTCTCTTGCATAGTGTCTTCCTTTTTACACATTGTACTGACTTTAGCATCGGAGGGGCCTTCCTCGGAAACACCCCCGAGGCTAGTTTACGTGTGTTCACTGTGCAGGAAACCTTCGGCCCAACACAGCTTGGATCGAATCCAGTCTTCTCCATTTCAGTGGACCTTCGGCAAGGTCCCATTGTTTTCAACCGAAACATGAGTAAAACGGTGTGTTGTCTAGCATGGGCTGCTAAGCTATATATGCTTTGACCTCCTTTTTTTTCGTTAATCACTTTATTGGCATCACAATATAGTAATTGATGGAAAAATCAGTTCCTAGATAACATGCATATAGTAGTATATGTTAGGAATCAGGAAGCCGAGGGCAATTCTCATGTTGTATTCGGTTGTTTTACTTCATCTATCTCCTCGAGGCTTTCTTTTGATATAGTATATGAGTATATCCAAATGAGCTTTTGATAGAGTATATCCGAATGAGCAAAACACAAGGAACTTATTCGGCTCACAATAAAAGTAGATAGAAATGATATGCTAAATGAAAATTATAAATTAAATTAAACCTTGTAATATACTTCGTATAATTAATAGTCGGCTTATGCCTCACTTTTGAAGGGTTATTTATTGACAATTTATAGAGATGTTCAAGGGTATACTTTTATACATTTAGACATAGTAATTTAAATACACTTAGAGTTTTTTTTTTTAATTTTTTTTTAATACACTTGAGTAGAGTTGGGTACAATTTGATTTCAACACAATATAAGACACAATCTAGGAAATTAAATAATGTCAGATGTATTTTGAGCATGTATCATACACTCAAAAACAATTTGTTGACCTTTTCGTTCATATCTCATGAAAAAATGTATTAACAACTAATCATAGTGATTAGTGTGTGCGCCACACAAACCTATAGCTTACAGTCATAAATGGTTGTCATTGAATTACATTACATAAGTCAAAAGTTTGAATATTATTTGTTTCATCAAATTCCATGCTAAAATTTTGAATCAAATCATATCATATCATTTAATAAAACTATTAACATTTGAAATTGAAGTCAAACGTTTCCCAAATATTACTAACCAATCATATCTCTAAAGTCATACATATGTATAGTAATATAAACATTTTTCTCAGGTTACCAGTATAGTAGAACCCAGGAAATTTCTACATTTTTAATTTTTTTTTTTTTTTTTTTTTTTAAACCGAGTCATGGCTACGTACATGTTAATCATTTGAGTTTCACATTTTAATAAAAATTAATTAAATTTAGAAAAATGTGTTGAGTAGTTATTTCGAACGTACCAACATTGAAAATTGTGTCACACCGAAAATTTATCATAAACAACAAAAATGTACAAAATAAAATAAAATCAAAGATTGCACTGAGTATGAGATATTAAGGACAATATTTTTGCATGTGATCACATGATTTCATGGGGGCGGTTCCATCACTCCCGGAGTACTTGTATTTGTATGATGTGGTTCCATATCATTGAAACTTAGGATATTACTGTACATTTTTTTTTATATATATAATGTATAATCATATAATGTGCTTGTATTAATTTGTTGATGTTAATTAACTATGTATATAAGGTATGAATCGAATTTTAATTTATTTTTTGCGGATTTTTCTGTGTTTAGGAAATAAAATCATGTTTAATTTGAATTTATAACTTGTCAACATGATCAAGTTTGAGGTTTCTAGAAAGTTTTTAGTTTTGATTTGATTGAATCATTTGGTAATTTTGTTTTGATGTTGCCATGTTATGTGGGAAAGTTCTTCTTTGACTTGGGATTAAAAGATTATTCCGTACAAAGAATTGTAGAGAAAGATATTGAGGAAATTAACTTGCTTTTAAAATTAATTATTTACTTGTATATATATATATATATATATATATATATATATATATATATATATATATATAGAGTGTGGATCATGTAAAAACAAGCCTATAGCTGAAAACATAAAAACGGACAATCAACACCGTAGATTATGACCCATCAAATCTCACGGCTGAGATTAAAACACATATTCTCCCTCAAATCCCTAACTCACCGTCCAAAATTTCCTCTCTCCTCAAACTTGCAAACCTCTTGTCTTTCTCTCTCCTCAAATCCCAAAATTGAACACAAATTGCTGGAAATTGAAGAATTTTTGTTCAAATTTCGCATAAACAACCTAAAATTGCTCAAATCAGGTACGTTTTTTTTTTTCCGATTTTGTTCAAATTTTCATGAAAAACGCATGATGTTCAACTAGATTTTGCGATTTTTCAATTTGATTTTTCCAATTTCAATGCGATTTTTGTGATTTGATTTATGCGATTTTCAGATTTTTAATTTTCGATTTTATTTGGCAATTTTATCAAAATTTTTTCCTGCGATTTTGTTCGATTTCTTGTGCGATTTGCGTGTTTTGTTCATCAATTTTGTTTGATTTCCAGTGCGATTTTGTGACTTTTGCTCATCAATTTTTTCGACTTTTTTTCATCAATTTTGTTCGATTTGTTTGATTTTGCGATTTCCTGTTCGATTTTGTTCGATTTCCTGTTTGATTTCGCTTGGTTTTTGTTCGTTTTCATTTGTGATTTTTGTTCAATGGCAAAAACCTTATGTTCCTGGGTTACTTGATGAAGTGAGAATAGGTCAGAATGTTGTTGTCATTTCTTGTAAATTGAAATTGTGATTATCTGTGGATACTACATTCAGAAATGGAGAGGCAACAATAAAAGCCTTTGTTTCTGTTAGTTTTCTCTTGGAGACCAGCCGCTTGCTGCTCAATTTCAGGAAATTCCTGCAGAGCTTCGGATGTCAGAAGCTGAGAGGGTTGGATGTAGGCACAAGCACTTGATATATATTTTTGTCAAAATAATGAAACCACCTAATTAACAATGCTAATTTGTATTTACTTGTTATATATTCTGGTTTATTGGAAATTGATTGGCTTTATTGCTGTTGGCAGATGAACTTTTGAAATCAACTGTGGCGGACAAAATTCCAAGTGATTTGGAAGGCATGGAAAGTACTCTGGAGAGGTTGCTGGCTTTAATTGAAATGGACCAAAGCAAACCTGATTTAAAATGGATTAACGCAATTCCTATCAACAAGAACACAATAAGTTATGGCCTTTTAATTTGAAGTTGATTAGAAAGTGAAATTAGCCTAACAGCCTTACCAAAAGATGACCATCACCTCAAGTATGACCCCACCTGTATTGGAATTGACCCTACTACTACTGCTTGAAGTTATGCTATGCCTAATAGTGGCAAAAGTTATACAGTTTATAAAGTATATAATGTATGATATTGGTGTTTGATTCACTAATGCCTAGTAATGGCAAAAGTTATACAATTTATAAAGTAAATAATGTATGATATTGGTGTTTGGTTCACTAGTCCTCTTTGGCTCTGGTGGTGGCTTTCAAGATTCTTGAAACCAGAGGTCTAGGGTTCAAGGACTAGTGGAAAACCAGCTACAGAGGAAAGATACTAGATGAGGTATTACAAAACACCTTCCTTTTGATTTTTGATATAATTGTAAATTAGTGGTATGCTGAGTATTACTGTATTGCTTTACTGCCTTTTATTTTGTTGTGCAATTTTAATTTTACAAATAGTATGTCAATTACTAGCATTGCTAGATTGTTACACTGCACGGACATAATTACTTCATAGAAAAATTATCTCAGATTCTATTTCTCACAAAAGAATGAACAAAAATGAGGGTCATTTGGCTTGTTGCTAATCAATCACCCTTTCATTATTTCAGTGCAAGTTCTGTGGCAGGGAGGGTACTATTACAATGATACCAAAATCTGGCCGCTATCTAACAGGTGATGACTGTGAAGCTGGAAAGTTTGTCCGTTTGATGAGCTTTGACTGCCGGGGTTTGGAGCCAGTGGACTACTCCTTTGGTGGTGACAAGGAGGAGTGGGAGAAATTATCTGATGACAAGTAGGAGCATGAGAAATTATCTGATGACAAGGAGCCCGGAGAAGGAGAAGTTATCTGATGATAGTTACCTTACTTTTGTAAATAGTGACATCTATAAAAATGTGGTCAATGTTGTCAAAATTTATAAATTACCTTATTTTTATATATAGTGATCTTCGTTATTTTTATATATAGTGACCTCTGTATAAATGTGGTCAAAATTGATATAGTTACCTTATTTTTGTATATAGTGACCTTTATGTAAATATGGTCAAAATTGATATAGTTACCCTATTTTTGTATATAGTGACCTCTAAGTAAATATTCTAAAAATTGATATAGTTACCCTATTTTTGTATATAGTGACCTCTAAGTAAATATTCTAAAAATTGATATAGTTACCTTATTTTTGTATATAGTGACCTTTATGTAAATATGATCAAAATTGATATAGCTACCCTATTTTTGTATATAGTTACGTTATTTTTATATATAGTGACTCTATGTAAATATCGTCAATTTAGATAAAGTTACCTTATTTTAGCATGTAGTGACCTTTAAAACGTTGCGTTTGTCAAAAAAAAAAAAAAATCTTTAAAACAGTTGAATTGATTATATGTAAGGTCGGAATGATCTTAGGGCTTTAGAACCGTCTGATCTTTTGTGCTAGTAATGAATGGCTAAGATTGCTTGTTTTTAGTTTTCACCATAAGCTCTGTTTTTAGCGGAACCTCCCCGTATATATATATATATATATATATATATATATATATATATATATAAGTCAATCAAGACTATTTCATATTTCCATGGAGTGGGGAGATAATCAAGTGATCAAGGGATATGTAATTTTTGGATTGAAATTTTGCTTAATGACTCTAGAAAGACTTTAAGACTAACGGAAAAAAAAAAGATTATTTGCATAAGGAAAAATTAATTTTAATATTATTGTTCACCTATTGTAGGTGGAGTTAAAATGAGTCAAATTTAACAATATAACACATAATTATATATCTATATATTATTATATTTTATTTGTAAATTTATTAGAATTATTTATCAATGTTTTCAAATTTTGACCATAAAAAGTCAAAACATGTCGTTTTGGGATTGATGGAAGGATTAAGGGTTATGGAGTAATACTAGGGAAGTAGTGATTGTTTGCAAATAGGACTTGTTCACTCATAGGCCTTGCCTTGCCTTGCCTTGCCTCTCTTCTTGGTTTTCTATAAATTTTAGGAGTGAAAGACATTTTTGATTGATTATCCAAAATAATTTATGTGCCATATATTTATTTTTCATACTTTCCCTTCATTTAGACTTCAGGGGATATTAAAATGCAATCAATTGATAAATTCATCTTGCTATCAACAAATAGATTCGAATTCTATCCTTTTGATATCTTTTACATAATGATGATGATTGTTTTCCCCACATAATCATCACATTAAATGTGTGTGCATTCATAAATATCATGTATAATGACAAAAATAATGTCACAAGAAATTGAATAATTGAACGATTAGAATCAACTCAACCATATCAAGATTTACACATGTTCAAAAAAACAAAATTCTACGGAATACAACTTATGATATCTTCCAGTCTTTCACCTTTCAAGAAAAAATTCAAAATAAAAATAAAAATCTAATTTTTAACTGTAAATTCTATCGATGTTATTTTATAATATCCAACTGTTAAAGTTATCTAAAACACTTTCGATTTAATATATCGTTACTTGTGTATAGGATCATCTATTACTTGAAAAACTCTTAAGGTGTTTAATCTCTATCTAAATTTATTCTTTTCAAAGCCTACATAATATGAGTAGATGTTGTACTATTATGTACGAGTATTTTTCAAAAGGTAAAACACGTACTCGTATCATATAAATATAAACCTATGACAATTATGAGTAGTATATTTACAAATCAAATACTCCTCGTCTCGCCCTCAAAAAAAAAAAAAAACTAAAAGTAGTCTTTTTTTTGGAAGATTAAACTTCTAGTTTCCTACTCTTGTAGTTTAGTTAAGGGAGGCAAATTACAAAAAAGTACATTTGTATTGATAGTAACTTGAAGAAGACTTTTTAGTTAAAGCCGTTAAGTCTAGAAGAAATTTAAGAAGTGGGGGAATACAAAGTGAGCTTTCTTTGACGAGTAACATCCGCGTATGTAAATTTCCTAATCTTTGTCTTTTAATTAACTCCAACTTCCTCTCACCAAATATTTAAATTTACAAATCTAAATTAAATTTTAAAAATTCCACGTCATCATAATACCCCACGACTCTTCCTACTCTTGGTCAAATTTCTCAACGCCTTCTTCTTCCCTTTTATTCCCCCTTCTCTATTAAAACCTTCCCACTCTCCATTACACAATTCTCCTCTTCTAATTATTTTTGTCTATCCCCCCCCAAATTATCTATCTTTGTACATACTACGACCTCGGGCTCGGACTCAAACTCGCCTCGAATTATTCGAAAACTTAAAGAAAAGAAAAAAAAAATGAAAAATATGGGGTTTCTTGAGGAGAAATCAATAAGGGTGATTAGAGCAATAAAAACAGTGTTTTTCTTAATTACATTACTAATCTCGTTTTTATTCTTCTCTGCTCCTGTTCTTCTTGCTGTTGCGGATACCATATTACCTTCTGCTTTGTTCTCTGCTTCGTCGCCTTTTCTATCTCCTCAATCGTTGTCCTCCCACCTTGCCAATTACGATTTCAGATACTCGCTTGTTGATATTCCGTTGATCTCCATACTCCGCTCCCTCGTCATCATCTGTAAGTTTCCTTGTTTTTTCGTAAAGTCTTGTATAAGACGGTCTCACATAATATTGCCGTATGGGCTTACACAAGCAATAATGATTTTATTTTTTTTAGGTTTTATTAGACAGAATAATTGTTGAATATAGTATGAAAATTGACGGGGTTGTATGAATTTGGTACAACTGTTTTAGGAATAGGGAATAACTTTATTTATTGCATTATTCGCGATTTTTCTAATGAGTGTTCATGGGTACTTGTTAAGCTAATTCGTTATGTTATTATGGTTCTACAAGATTATTAAGTACTTAATTAACCGGCCAAAACTTGAAATTTGATGGTCACCATTGATTAGATTAGGCAGTTTATATCTTAACCTACCTTAAAGTGCGCTTACATAGCAGAAATGACTAATTAAGGGCTTAATAAGTCCAGCAAACTAGTTGGCTTAATTTGATTATTATTTTATATTAATATATTTTCTGACAGTAGTTGGCCCAATTGTTGTTAGCCGTTTTCATGTGTTTTCTGCATAATTTATTAAAGTTGGTTAATAATGCTCTACATTCTCATAAGTCATAATCCCATATGAAATAAATCTAATTAATTTTGCATTTATTTTATTCTTAATACATATGACAATTCACTTTCTTTGTAACGGTTAAATATACCTATATACCATAAAAACTGTGACAATTAGCGAGTTTAAAAGACTTTGTATGTAATAATGTGTATTTTATGTAACGAACGGGTGATAAGTCTGATAACGTATTAACAATTTTTGTTATGTGTTTAATGTATTGAGAACAACTTGTTTATTGTAATGTATAGGTGTGTATAGCTGTTGTGATGGGCCGAAGTTGTCACGTGGGCCCTACTTGTGGGTGGTAACAATATGTTCGGTACTTTCGTTGGTGTTTGTATCATTAAAAGCCCCGTTCGTATTTGGTGGTGCAAGTGGTGCCGAGAGAGGGTACACTAAAGTCACCGAGGTTGCACTATTCGTATGTTCTTACGTATTGGCGGTTGGACACGTGTTTGTTGCTTATAGGACCAGTTGTCGAGAACGGAAAAAGCTTCTTGTTTACAGGATTGACATTGAAGCTGTAAGTTCCCTCCATCCCTACCTCAATTTAATTGCAAGTTAAAGTTAATTTCATTTCAAGAAATCCCCTTACCCCTTATCCCAAAGTCGATAACAAAAATACAAAACTAAGTAACCCTTTGCTAAATAGGATAAATAATCAATGTCCCACGTTAGCAACCCAATCGAGTAGTTACTAAAACGACACATTTTTTATTTGTTGAATTTACAAAATAATTCGAGTACATAATTTAATACTCCGTAACAATGTTGCAAGATGAATTAATTTGGTTGGTACATGATGAAATTATTATTAGCATGGGATTTAATATTGATTACTGAAAATTGGCAGCTAAAAAGTGTAAGAAATAGGTTTCTGTTTGCTAGGTGGCTTTGATGAGTTGGTAGAATATCATTAAAAAGATGCCAAGCTAATTAGCTATGCACTAATTAATTCCTAATAGCATATCTTTATAAAGAGGATAAACCAATCAAGAGTGGGGTGCTGTACCACTAAAACAGTTGTAATGTCTCAAAGCTAGGAGTTTATGACCTGGAACTTTAATTTTAATAAAGTGGCATAGGAAAACTCTATAGCTGTATGAATGGATTGAAAGACTATTTGACATTTTCAACTTTTAATTACTCTGTAGTCTGTACCCATGTCTTACCATGTACCCGTCTCTCATAATAATTCCCGAGAATATTCGTCAAGTAGTGTTACTACTCGTTTTCATATGAACACTTTATTTAGAAAATGAAAAGAGAAACAGAATAGATTCTAGTACTCGTATAAAATTTGAAATTATTCTAAATAGAAAATTGGGTTTAAATGAGAACAAAAATTTGAAACATAAAAAAAAGTTGTGAAGATCAGATTCGATTAGAGGATGATCATTAATAAGTTATATGTCCTTATAATATAACCACCTAAGCCATGACGATTGAATTAGCCATAGATTAGTCTTAGCTCTTAATTAAGAGATTCTTTGAGCTTGATTGATGGATTATTGCTGTAATTTATTATAATTCGTACTTGGTATTATAAAATAACATGTTGTCCAATATTGACAAATATTAATTTATTGAAAACACCTAGATTTATATTTTGTTGCTGTGGCAAAGAATAATCAAATTTGGGAGCAACTTATAGTAAGCGTTGGGGGGAAGTCTTACCTTAAAATTGACTAGTGCTTTCGCACGAAATTGCTGTGAAATTTTCAACGTAACATTTTTATTCAGTCAAAACCTACCATCTTACCACTAATTATTATACACTAATAATGCTTTTAGTCCAAACAATATTCAAGCACTTTAGGATATTTTGTTTTGTTTTCTAATATAAGATCTTTTTCCTACTCTCGTATACATTTGAGGCTTCATTTTCAAATCCAAACCTACCCTTCCTAAGGAATAAGACCCCCCGAGAGATGATCGATACTTCTAACATAGTGATTGTGTCGTTCGTCTCTACATATGCATACCGGGACAATTTTTTCGTTGATAATTGTGTCGTATTTAGGGAATAAATAGAGTTTTTGTCAGTACACGAGGGTCTTTTAGGAGGAAAGTTTCCAAGTGTAAGGACACCTCTTTCCAACAGAAATTGCTAATTTTGATACAAAGTAATTTAAGTACTTATAGTAATTTAACGTCGTGTTAAATTTAATTTGGTGTTGCTATATGCTTTTCCTAAGTCTAAAAAGTTAAACCTAATTATATTATTCATGTATTGATATGGGGTCCCGCTTAGAGATTTTTTGACAACCTCGCGTAGAGTACGAGTGAGGGGATCACATCACATGCATAAAAATTAAATTAGAAGTTATACGTAATCAAAGAAATACATCAAAATGGTGAAGTACGCATACATGCATGATTATCTAGAGTTATGGAGTGATTAGAGCCACAATATCATAATAAGATCACTTCAATTGTGAATTAGGTGTACTCTTCATGCGTATTAGTTGCTTAATCATGACATGTTTTTTATATATAATATTTAGGTTTGTGTCCTATTCTTTTGATCACTATTTAAAATTTAGCTTATTAATATTATATGTGTAAAGAACTCCATCTAGGCATCCATCGTCATACTTTGAACTTATCTTGAATGAGGTCGTGTATTGACGCCATTTATCAGATATTTGTAAACTTACCCTTGCTATTACAACAAGACTTATTTGGCTAATAATTCTCTCTTTGTTTCAAGATAATAATCGCACATACATTATTAATTTAAATAATACTGATATAGCGACTTTATGTTCTAGATAGGTGATTGGAGGGATAGGTCATGAACTCATAATCACATCGATATGTGAAAAAACACCACTTACTTGCATCATGATGTGTAACAGAATAAATGAATTTAGGGATGGGCGGTTAATTAGGTCCATATGTTGATCATAAATATCTACATCAAATTGGTATTATAGTAATGAAAATTAAATAAAGCAAGAGACCCTTTGGTCTACGGAATATGCAAAGGTAGGGACAACTTATCCATTGATGAAGACATTTATATTGGACGTTTGAGTAAGATTTGTCTATGAATCCACTTGTATTGCTAATTATGGGAAGAAAGAATTAAATGGGTTAATCAAGAAAATTATAAACCTTAAATGACGTAATTCTGATGTTAATATAAGAGAAAAATTGAATGAGTTGTATAAAGTGACAATGAATAAAAGACATTGTCTGTAAGGTTCTCTTTTAATCAGGTTTTGGAATCCTTTCTTAGTCTGAATCATCAAAAATTGACATGTTTTTTTTAATTTTATTGGTAGTATAATTGACATGCTGACAAGTCTTGACATAATTGCTACTTTAACCCTGTTAATTAAGCATGTTTTAGAACTTTTTAGGTAGTATACAGGCCCGTACATTGAAAATTTAACTTCAAGATTAAAGGGTGATTTCGAAATTGTGTATCTTTTTTCGTTGCAGTTAAAAGTCATTTTAGAAAATGTTTGGTTTTTGCAAGAGTGAGATGATCCTTTTGTTCTTTACATCTTACTTTGACTTATAAAGAATCCTTTTAGTCTTACAAAAACCTTGTTTTCAACAGCTTCAACATTTATTTGAAATCTGATTTATTCGTCAATCAAATTGTTGTATGTAGGTTAATTCAGCTTGTAAGAAAGGATTTCCAAGATATGAAAAATTGTTGCATGAAGAAAGGAAGAAGTGAAGCATGTACAAAATTAGAGCATTAAAGATAAATTTCGTATAGTTTCTCATAAAAAAAAAAAAAGGATTTTCGTACATTATTTTAAAGGTAAGATTTCCATGTCCCAACAAATCATATTCTTTTGACAAAAGCTTTGATAACCTATTTGTCTACTTATAAATCCAACAATTGCAACATGATTGCATGTACCTACATATTATAATAACTAACAAATTTTCATTTTCTATATGCAGGATTTTCAGTACCGTACATATAAAATGATGCAATTTCAAGATTTTCGTGAGAAACGTATCCATAACAACATAGGATTGACATACATAAACATCCTTAGAGTCCTTTTAACTTGTGTTTGGTAGTTGAGGAATGAGATTGTACTATCGATTTCATCTCACTTCTTTATTGTATAGTTTTTTTTTCTTTTTTTTTTTCTTTCCATTTGGGGTAGGGAGATGGCGTATGGGAAGTCGTAGGGTGTTTATCAAGGATCAAGATTATGTATATAACTAAAGAGAGAGGAACTATTAGTATGAATATCAGTAGGCAAGCCGAAGGCTCCTACAATTTTCTTTGCCCTCCAAAGGGGTGCATCTAGCTAGTTAAGTAGCAAGTGTGATTTTTTCAAGTTGTTGCTATATAAATTGTAATTATATATGATATATCTATCTTCAACACTTTTACTCCGTTTTATAGTTATACGTGTGATTTGGATGAATTTTAATTATAGTTGTTGTCACTTAACTTAACCATTGTTTATAATTAAACATTACAAGTAAGCTTATGCAAATGAAGATTAAGGTACACATTGAATAGTTCTTGTTGGTTACAAATATCTCAAAGATTTACAACGGATTTTGCTCCTTCCCAATTTTCCATTACTATTTAATAAATCAAATAATTTTCAAGTACAGATAGCGACACAAGATTGATAGATCTATGGCATCAAAGTTTGCATTACTCCGTACTATTTATTAATTCAAATAATTATTGTAAAAAAACATGATTAAGTTTTAATAAAACCAAAAATTCAAATCAAACCGGGCCATGAAGTGACTTGAGTTGCGATTAGTAAACCACAAATTTTTTTATATAGCTGGTCACATTGTGTGGTCAGGGTTACTTATTCTCGGATTACTCAATCGGTCAGGGATTATTCAGTCGGTCAAGGATTATTCAATCGGTCAAGGATTACTCTCACAATAGAAAACGCAGGAAAAACACAGTTAGTGAATACATGAAGAACCTGTTTTTTTCAGCTTATTTTCAGTTCAGTTCAGCTCATTTTCAATAAGTTCAGTTCAGTTTAACTCACTTACGTCAATCAAACAGGCCCGAAATATTGAAAATTCTATTTGAGCTAATTTGGATTATGGATCCACTTCTTTCGTTACCAGTTAATTATAACCCAACAAAAATAGCCCAAATACTAGCAAAAAAGCCCATTTTAAGTATTTCACACTCGTGCACCTCCTCCTCAAACAAGACACTCTCGTCTCTTTCACTATTCTAAAATCTGCAAATATTCTCCCTCCATTTTTTTTTCTCTCTCATATAACCCCCCAAATTAAATCAAAATCTGAATTTCTAGAAAAAATGAGGTTCAATTTCGACATTGCAGAATCAAGCAATGAGAAGAATCAGCAGAAATCGAAAACCCTAGCTCTCTCTTCATCTCCTTCTTCTTCAACTCCCACTGATAAGCAGCTTCAATGGCTTCCACTTCAGGATCATCCCGTCTTCTCCTCCTTCGCCGCCTTCGGCGGCGGCGTAAGTTCGCCGGAGAATCGGTTTGCGATGAATCTAATGGCTTGGGATGGATCTTCTAGAATCTACTACTGGGATTCCGAGAAGGATTGTCTTCATCGTTTGTCTGTTCGTTTGGGTGAACCTGAACCTACTTCTGTTGCTGCTGCTTCTCCTTCTAAGGTTTGATTTCTCTTTCTCTGTTTCCCTAATTGAATTGTGTTTGTGTTTAATTTTGGAATTTTTGTTGTTGATGTTTTGGAATTGTCAGGGTTTAGGGTTTATAGAGTTAGGGGGTATAATGTATTGATTTGAAGTTCATTTGAGCTGATTAATTTCATAGGTTTTATTAATATAGATAAAATTTATTCTCTCGTAACTTTTGCTCTTGTTTGATGTTTGTTCTTGATTACTAGTTTAATAAAGCTGATTGAACTACTCAGGTTAGCATTCTTAGCAATTACGAGTTTTAACTGACTTCTGCAAACAAAGTTAGCTGCACTTTAGCCAACTATTAATATAATGCAGTACATTAGGCAGGTAGATATGCTATTAGGGTAATCTCGGGTTATGGGGGGGGGGGGGGGAGCGCGGTGATGGTGTATTGGAAATTGTCAGGAAAGGCAGTTTGTCGCTGCAAGTACCATTCAAGTTAAATTGCCTAGCTTCTAGTCTTCCCCTTGCCCTGGGGGATGATGCTTGCCGGATTAGTTACTACCTTCACTATGTTTTCCTGGTGGGTGAAAATCTTGCCTTGAATTTGTCATCTAAGTGGTAAAAAAAAACTGCCAATTCCGGTCAACAAAGAAGAATTTTATTATGCATCTTGATGAGAGAACTTAATGTCATAAAGCCATCCCGGCGACTGGGAATAAATGAGTTGTAATTACTATTAAAGTGTAGCTTTCAAAGGAGATTTTATGTGCATTTGTAGTCTATATCCTCATTTTTTTGTGTGATTGCTTAGTTTGGCCATAGAAATATCTACTTACATAATCATTGGCCAACACTAAAGGAAATACTTAAGTTGGAAATAAGAGTTATATATCAAGTTTCTATGTTAAAGTAGAAGATAGTTGAAAAGGTTTATATCGTGCCCTGATATTTGGTACTCATTATTTTGATTAATTCAAGTCCATGCTTGTCAAATCAAACTTTTCCATGTGTATGTTTTTTTTATTCCTCTTGCATTAGTCTTGTGTTTTAAAAATAATTTTTAGGGTGCCTTTTGTCTCTTGGATAAATATCTTTGGCTATACTTATTGATGATTCCATACTTGTCATAGGTGCTGCAAACAGATATTGAACTTGACTATCATGTTACCAAAATCTCAATTAATAGAAATGGGTCAGCATTGCTTCTTGCTGGTTCAGATTGCATATGTGTCATGTATCTTTATGGATGTACTTCCGCAAAGGATGGTTCGAGTATTTGCAGGTATGCCTTATACATAAATGTTATTGCTAACAAAATATAGAGCATATGACATGTGTTTTAACTTTGTATGCTCTGGAGCCTTTCATGCCATTAGTTTTTTTTCCAGAATTTTCTTGATGCTTTAGGATTTGAAGCATCTCAGGTAATTGGGATGCTTCATGTTTTTCTTCTTTGTTCCCTTAATTGGGCAGGCCTGGCAAAATGGAACTTATCAATTTATTGTTTTTTTTTTTTTTTTTTTTCTTATCGTCAGCCGCTATGATCTCTTACTGACATTAATAGAGTTATTGTGGTTACAATGATCTCATGATCATGCAATTTTGCTGAAATTTAAATGTTTCGAAGGCCTTTATTCAACTAGAAATAAATTCTCGACTTCATGTTGCTCTTAAAATCTAAAGTGCAAGGTACCAGAAAGGTATTAGGGGGTGAATGCGGGTGGTGGGTTCTAAGACGGTTGAGTTGAGAGTTGGTAATCCTGAATGCTAATGCAATAATGGAAGCACAAAGGAAAAAGAGACTGAGATAAGCTAGATTTGAAAGATGGAGTTCTTTGCTCTTTCTTTCCTTAATGCAATGCCTGCTGTGGTTTCTAAAAGTGAGAGGTGTTTAGTGCTTTTTCTGGAAGTTTTAAATGGGTAGCATTTAAAACTTTATGTAATAAACACTGAAAAGTTGCCTGAATATTTGTAGGAAATTAGTGGTATTCTGCCTAATATAACATTTTTGCCTCTTGCTGGGCATTCACAATTTATTGCTTATTCACAATCTAATTCTTGTTTATGCAGGACTGTCCCTGTTGGTTCTGAAGTTTATGATAAATGTAATAGTGCTATCCGCATATTGCAAGTGGTATGGCATCCTTATAGTGATACACATATTGCAGTTCTTTCTTCTGATTCAGTTTTCAGGTAAAATAACCCCCCTCCCTTCCATTTTTTTTAATAATTTTTTTATTATTATGAATATTATGAACAACAATCGACAAAGGGGATTTATCATTGTATTCTTGTATAGAATATATTATTGTGGTTGATGTTTTGGTGTGTTAATTGCTTTGTACCCTGCTCATTCCTGAACATTATAATATAGATTCTGTTTACATTGTAGTATATAGATTCTGTTTTTGGATAAAAATTAATGTGAGAATTTGCCTTCTAATTTTTTTTGAAGCAACTGTCTGTTAAGAAACTTTGTTTAATACAACACCAATTAATGGTACTCATGACTTTTTGAATGTTAAACATATGACCCATAAAATATATTTCTTTCCATTACTCGCATATGGGCTTGATTTTGGGAGTCACAGATGTCACAGTTTAAGTTAAGCTCAAGAAATCGAACTAATTGTGTTAACACCTTAATGGTAATTTTTTTTCAAGATTGTGGTTTATGAAGTATATTTTTTGAACAATTCAAATTGTGGTATATAAACGTAGCTCTTCTTTTTTGTCTATGTTGTTTCATGTTGATGCCACTATGACTAATTGCCTTTGGTTTCCTTTTGTAGAATATTTGATTTGTCATCTGCCCTTGATCAGCCAGAGCAGGAGTACTATTTGCAGCCTTTAGAGCCAGGTAGATCCCGGCATGCATCATCAATTTGCCCTGTTGATTTCTCCTTTGGGCGTGATCACTTATGGGACAGATTTAGTGTGAGTTCTGATGGATCTTATCAATTAGATTCTATTGAAATTTTAACTTGTTTCAAAGTTTATTAATCAAAGACCGTTTGTATATGTTATGCTCTTTGTTGGTTCTAGATGAGGGCTCATAAAGTCTAGTATCACCCAGAAACTTGTCCTTTTACATGCTTACTGTTTATCTGACACAGCTTCACACAAAAGTTCCATGTTTAATATGTCATGTACTTAGAAGTTTGATGTAAAAAATGGTTGCAGAGAGCTAATCTCTAAGTGATTGCTGTTTATTTTTATTTGCTACTTATGTCTCCTCCTTGCCATTTTGTAGGTTTTTGTTTTGTTTAGTGATGGCTCTGTTTACATTCTCTGCCCAGTGGCCCCATTTGGAAGGTACATTTTCTACACAGTAGTTGTACTTGTAGTACATTCTGTGAAATTGTCTTCTAAAACTTTGTTAGATATGGATCAATTTATTGATATCGTTGCTCAAACTGGATTGGCCTATCAAATGATGTTGATTTACTATTGAAATTCGAAGAGTTTGCTAAATACTAGCTAGATTTGGTGAAATAAAATCGTTCACTATTATTTCTGATTGATCTGTATCAGGTCCGAATCTGACCTGAAACCAGATAACTCAAACTGATATTGACCCACAATGTGAACTAACGTAGCTGAAAATCTGTATGGCCAGTTTGATTGTGTTTTCATCATAAGCTATTGATTATAGAAGTGTCGATATCATCCACTAATTTTGAACAAATTCGAATTATTCTGTACAATACCTGATTGGAAAGATCCATTTGGGAAGATAATAGCTTTTCTGCTTTGTCTAATATGCTTTTCCCTATCTCTCATAATTTTTAAAGGTTAGCAACGGGTTGGATATCAGAGAATAGTACTTTTTAATAGGATTATGCCTAGATTGTCTCAGCATCTTTTTCGTACTATCGTACCATTGTTATTTACCTCAACCCCCACCCCAAAAAAATGATTAGACAAATGACATTGGAAAGAACGTTTTTTTGGTTTTAATAACCAAAAATACAAAATTATCACGCGTTACTTAAATATTTTCAACCAAACTTTTTTCTCCACTCACTTGCCTCCCTATGTTGACCTCCCTTTCCAAAGATTGTCTCTGTACAACCCTTTGGCCTCCACTCTTTTCTTTATGAAGATAGTTCCTGTTAAAACTTTTGAGGATAGCTTCTCAAAATGGTCATAGTTTCTGATTATTATTGGCTATTTTGGGGTTTTGCAATTTTGGATCACGCTTTATACAAAAGGGAAAAGTGTGATTTATGAATTCAGACTTCTGCATTCGGTATCAGTGTTTTGTCATGTATATTTATGATCCTTGAGCATGGTTAGTGAATTATTTGTTTATTTATTTTTTTTTTGACAGTGTATTCATGTGGGAATCAATAGTAGAAATTTACAGTGATGCCCAAACTTTTGGTCAGAAATCTACCAACTCATCAGCTATTAGCAATTCAAGTCTGGCTATATCTTGGTTAGAAGCAACATTTCCTGAACTAGACCAAGGAAAGGGAGCAGCTAGTAACATCACAGCTGTGAAAGCTTGTCCTTATGTGGTGATAGATGCGTCACTTTCATTGCAGGTATATTCCTTAATTGTTGTAATTTATTTCAGGTTTGCCTTTTCTTCAGTTGCTTAAGTGCATGCTGATGGGAAATACCACGTAATTGAATTGAATTGAAGCATATGTTTTGAATGCATACCACGTAATTCAGGACAACTCTCAGTTTACGTGTTTGTAATTCAACACAGGTTCTAGATTAGTTGTAGGCTTGCTTCGGTACCTGTATTGTTGTCTCAATGAATGAGTGGATCTGACACTTGGTTTTTCCTTGTTGAATTAGAAATTGGGTTTGACTTCTGATCCCCACTAATTCCAGTGTGTGTTTTTTCCTTTTGGGGTGGGCTAAAGCTCTATTTTATCTAGCCCATCTGTGAATGATGTTTGACTTAATGTTATGAATATTTTGCTGTTCCTCTAATCAATGAGCTTTTATTTTGGGAATTTTTTTCATCTGTCAGGGTCTCAGCTATCCCTTCACTATCAGTTATTGTATTTTTTGTTGTTATTCCTATTTTTTCTAAGCAATGTACCCCTTTACCATCAACCACAATATGTCATGCCTATTTTCTTTGAACCTTGTACCCCTGTACTTTTTACAATTTCATTGTGTAGCTTCTAACTAAGCAATGTACCCCTTTACCATCAACCACAATATGTCATGCCTATCTTCTTTGAACCTTGTACCCTGTACTTTACTTTTTTGTTTTTTTTTTGAAATCATCATTCTCTCAACTCTCAGTGATTTTTTCTGATAATCACAGGGGTGCAGAGTTTATAGGCTTACTCATGGGGTTACTATTACTTGATAGCACAAATGCTTTTGCTACAAAGATAAGAACTAACTTTGTTTGGTGGGAATGGAGCTTCTGTAAATCTGTTTATTATTTTGTTGTCTAATGTCACTTTTGCTTTATGTTGGGTGGATTGAGAACACCATGCTGGTAAACTAGGCTGTAATTGGCTCTATATGAAGATTGAAACTAGTCATGCAATCAGTGTTTTTGTTACATTATAAGCACTTTATTCGATTATCTAACTCCAGAAATGAATGATGTATCTAGCATACTTGGAACAGTAATTTTTATGAAGTATTACTTTTCCAGGGCCCTCTTCGTAAAGTTTGTCATGGTGAGGAAGATGATCCTGGATTTCGTGGAGCAGAATGTGGTGGCCGTGCTGTGAGCTTTCTTTACAACTCTGTCGGCAAGGACTCGATCTTAGTGACTGCATGGAGTGGTGGACAGTTACAAATTGATGCTCTTGCTGATGAAATTCAACCCCTTTGGCAAACTGGGAATCCGCCTCATCTCTCATTTGATTCCCATGATCGTATACGTGGGTTTGCAATGATATGTGAATCAATTGCAGATCAGTTTTCTGTTGTAAGGCTTGACCAGCCACTTGATTATTGTGATTGGTCTGGTCATCCACCTCCTCTTTTAAGATTGGCTATTGTAGATTTGGCCCTGCCTAAAATCAAGGATAGCGACTCTCTAATTTCTATGTTTATTGATCCTCTTATCTCTGAGAGAATATACTGCCTTCATGATGGAGGTGTAGATTCTATAGTGTTGCACTTTCTACCATTTACGCATCAGACCTGTGGGAAGGATGAAATGATGAAAACTCCATCTGTACATCCAGTTGTAAATACATATGAGGGTTCAACAGGCACTTCCTCTTCTCTTTGTGGTTTTGTGGTTCTATCTGATTCATTTGGCTACTCGTGGATTGCTGGAGTCACTTCTACTCGAGAATGTATTGTGCTAGAGATGAAAACATGGGATATATTGCTTCCTAAGTTTACAGACACAGAGAAGAGACCTGCCAAGTCAGAAGAAGCAAGAGAAAGGATTACTCCAGACATTATAAGTAGAGAACTCCTTGCTGGCCCTCAGATGGTTATTGTTCCACAAGGATCTAATTTGCGAACAGTTGCTGCTGATTCTATAGAAGGACGTTCAGCCCTGCATCAGTATTTCAAGCTTTTCCATGAAAACTACGTGGAATATGCGCATAAGGTAATGAAAGTATATTAATGTATGTGAGCATTACTTGGGACCTAAACCAGTTGAATTAATATTACTTGGCCTTGTTGCTCTTGTTTTTGAATACTCTGGTATGCCTGTGACGAATTTATTATTCTGATCTGTTCAATTTAAAGGGGTTTGAGATAGTATTGTTGACTTTTTGTGGCATTGGCTATAATCCCCGAAGATAAAGCAAGGGAAGTAGTATGACACAAGTTTACAGAGTAATAATTTTTGTGATTTCAAATCTACTGGGTATCTGAGTTGATGTTGCTTATGTGGGCTCTGTATATTATATTTATCTTATAGAATTGCTTCTTTTTTTTTTCTTAGGTGTATTTTGAACTCAAGCATCATGGGCCTCATCTGAATAAAATAATTCATAACCTGCATGCACGATTAAGTGAAGCTAAGCAGAGGCTTGTGAATGTTGAGAGTAAACAGCCAGAACTGGATGAAAGGATCAGTCGTGCAATTGAGCGCCATGAATTTCTGGAAACCCGCTTGCAAAACTTGAGAAAGTTCCCTGGAATTCATAAGAAGCCATTGACCAGAGCTGAGCGTGAGTTCAAGTCAGAACTAGGTACGGATCTTATTTACGGCTAGTTTTGTTTGTTGGTTATTAGCAATGTTTATGATTACAGCTACTGCATGCCCACATCCGTAGTAAAATACAAGCTTACCACTATATGTACAAGGGATATATAGTAAAATATTTAGGTCCCCAAATTTGCTTGTGGCAACCCTCCAGTCACTTGGAGAATCTAATGAGACTGAGTAAGAGAAGCAATTTGTTCGTTGTCTGTATTTTAACAGTTTGCATTTTTAATAATCCTTGTCAATTTAGTGAAGGGCTAATATACATTTGGCTACTTTTGCAGACAGCTTTACAACTGTTGAGCTGGATGCTTTGCAGTCCTCTGTTGAAGCATTGAATGGGAGGTTGAGAAGGTACACCCAAACTCTCAAGGGGAAGATGAAGCCCAACTTCCAGAGGATCCCCTCCAAAAAGAAGGGCTTGGTACAAGAGTCCCAGCTAGACCAATTAAAGTCCTCACTCGAGAAACTCTCTCTAGTAAACAGCGAGAATTCAAAGAAAGTAAAACTGGTAGAATCTGCATTGAAGGATTGGGAAGATGAAACTTCTAAATGAGGTTATGGTACCTGGTGATGATTAACGATATGGATGTGGCTATTGGTGTTTTGTGAATTAATTCATGTAGAGAAGCTGTCACAAGCTCCTTGCTTAGCAGTTTGATTGAACAGCTTTCAGATGTTTTGTCCAGCAGATGCCAATGGAAAGATGTTTCTGCTACCCTGAAATGCCAGCGTGCCACTCGTCACTTGGTGGTTGATTGAACAGCTTTCAGATGTTTGGTCTTGCGGATGCCAATGGAAAGATGCTTGTGCAACGTTTAAATTCCTTGTAATTGGTGGTGCAGTTGAGGCATAGAGGAACTATGTTGTTCCTATGATATAGATTTTAACAAGTGCTAACGTAGTAACATGGATGGGAAAGTTTCGGCTGTTCTGCTTTGTTGTAAATTGGGTATTTAGGGTTCCATGGAGGAATCGATGTCATATGATACTAGTATTTAACTAGTAGAAAAAGTAGGAACTTATAGCTGTAACATTTTCGGTCTTGAGCATCCTAGTTACATTTTTTTTGACATCTGCTCATGTAGAAGTATCATTTTTCTGGTAAAATATTCAGGAATCCTTGTATCAATTTAATTCTGATGATGAAAAGAAAAGTATTCAGATTTTCTTACTATAGAAACATCAATTATTATTCCTCTTCGGCTGGATTAAGAAAATAGTCTTGGCCCATGGGTAGCTGGGTACACTTTTGAGGTGCACCTGAGTGTATTATAAAATTTGTTCAGGGTCATCCTCATGTTCAAGTATAGATGGATTGGCAGTTCCAACTTCAAATCGATCCACTCGATATCTGGTCACCCGACCAGACTAACGTAATTACATGCGTCGCTCTTAATGTTCATGTTCATGTTCGGTGTTATTACGTTATACTTAAACTTCTTGGTTCTTTTAGAGTTCTGTTCCGAAAATGAAAATTGCAGCTCATCATTATGAATGTGACTAATTTTACAGGTTATCACAAGCAGCTAAAAGACAGTGGGGTTAGGGAATTGAAAGGGTTAAAAGTTGACAAGAAGTAATGAAAAGCAAGATGAAAGTGACCAAAAAGAAGAAATTAGGCCTAACTAATAGCAATTGGTAAAAACATGTACAATGGTGTAAGTTTTTCATTGTTTACTATTGAACATAGTCACCAAAAGAATTAAGAGTAACTGCTCGTTTCACTTCCTGAACAACTTGAGCAGCTTAATCTCATTGATATATAAACCAATTTTACCTCTCCTCAACTATTTTTATCTTGTTTTTCTTTTCCGCCTTCTTATTTGGATTTGAACATGTAAGCTTCTTTTTCTTTTTCAATCTTCTTTACAGCTCTCCTATACTCTAAACTTGCATCTCCCTCCCTTTTCTTTACACTGCTGGATTTCGGCGATGCACATAAATGGGATATCGTTTTTGCGTTCGAGTTGTAGGAAAGAAGACCAACTTATCCTGTTCAGCAGGCTCCCAACTGTTGAGTAACCATAAAAAACGATTGGGTTAATTATGCCTAGAAAATATGGATGGTGCAATAGTCTACTATGAAAGGACTTAAACCAATATTTATGAATCCTGATTAGTTGACAAAAACAAGCTCAATACCTATATTTTGTGACGAGGTGGTGGAGGAAGACAGATATTGACACTCTAGAGATCTCGTAGCCAGGGCACAATCTTGGGCCTCCACCAAACGGAGTGAATGCACTAGGAGGGCATGCTGCTGACTCGCTCTGTTCACGTTAGAATCACAGCAAAAAAACAAGCTCAATTAGACCTAAGAACCAGATTTTTTCAAATAAATGTGAGATATTACATAGAGTTTACAAGTTTATACTGTATAAGTTGGTATATACTAACTGATAGTATTTGAAGAATATTACCTGCCATCTCCATGGATTGAATTTTCGAGCATCCTTAAAGTATTCATCATTCATATGTACACCCCTAAATGCCGCAAACACTTTATACCCCTTTGGTATTGTATAGCCTGTTCACAAAAAGGTCCAACAAAAACAAAGCACATTTGTTAAGAAACTTGCTGTTGCTCATGAGTTTTGCTTGAAAATATAGATAGATCAAAGAAGCAGGGTAAATTATATGTACCACTAACGTGAACATCTGATGTAGTACGTCTAAATATGCCTCCGATGATGTTTGCCACGCGTAAAGTCTCATTCACAACCTGAAGATACCATCATATAACAAAGATAAACACCATGAGTGACACAACTCACACAAATGAAAGACTGAAGATTTACAGAACAATACTGAGATTATATCAAACTGTAGTATACTAGCAGATTTTTTTTGGGTGCAGAATTATATTTATGTATAAATTAAGACTTACACATTGAGTGAAGGGCATTGATTTGTAATCTGTCCACAGCAATGGCTCATCTTCACCCTTCTTAGCTCTTATCTTTTCATGTTCTTCCTGTAATAACATGAAACAGCATTAAACATTACTGACATTCTAAAATGTCTGTACATGTGCATGATACAGTCAAATGAATAAGATTTGTATGAAGGTTGATGTAAGTTTGCATAATGAGCTTAAAATTGGCCATTTTCGGCAAATTTGAACATAATGAGGTTATGACTAAATTGACAGTTTAAAGACAAAGTGGACAGTTTCAACCACCCAAACAGTCTCCTGCGGTCTTATGGGGTCCATGACAAACACTTCAGCCTCTTTCTTTTTCGAGTCTGGAAAAGTTGAAAATTGTCTAAAACTGAAGGCTATAATCCACACTTTAAGGCCAATTTCGAAAAAAATTCCCAAATTTAAAGTTAATGTGTCGGGTATTCCCGAGGTCATATAAGTTGATTTAGAACCATAACAAACCTAGCGAAAGGTTTATAAAAGTCAAAAAGTGATTTTGATTCAATTACATGGTTGATTAAGAATTATGTTGCATTGGTAGGTAAGACGCCCAAAAGATGATCCCCATTCAATGATGTTGCATTGATTTTCAAAAATGACATTAGAATACTAGAGTGACAAGAGTATTAGAAACCAACACACGTTAAGCACACCCCAATACATGTTAAACACTTAGTGAAGATGTATCATGTATGTATGGCTAATAAAGTAATGCCAATTGTATAGTAATTTAGACCAAATGCATGCAACAATAAACAAAGAATTCAAAAGTGAAAGTTTCATGCAAATACATAGTCAACTTGATACAAAAAATGGACTGTTGATGTTACCCAAAAGTTACCCTAGTGTGGTCATGAATACTTTAGGATTGCATAATATGCCAAAAGAGCAAATGAAATGTAGGGACATAGGCCAGCATCTAGCCTCTCTAATTTACCATTCTAAATTTGTATCTAGCCTAGCAAGTGCAACTCACACTCACTCTTTTCTATGGTTATTATTAAATTAACAGATGTAATTATTCCTAAGCAGTTATTTCTAAAGATGCCATTTAATTCCTGACACTTTCCTCCTTGTTCCTCTGATCTTATTTCTGTATTTTGGACTTTTTGTGGTTTTTTTGGTTTTCAAAAAATAATGAGATTTACTCATCATGCTGCATATCCTCTTTTGGGCCCATAAACTCACGTGAGGGGGTGTAAAAGGTTAATTTTTTTTAATCCTTTTTCCAAATTATTTTCACTTAGGTAAGATGAAACCCATGAAAGAACTCGGTTCATTTAGGTCTAATGTTTTTTAGCTTTTGAGCCGAATAAAGGTGTCAAAGTAGAGCAGAGCAGAGCAGCTTAAAAAAAACAGAATATTGACTTATAGCTCAAACATTGACGTGTTAAAAATGATTAGTTACGTGCTAAGATTTAAACTTTGATTTGCTCAGGTAAAGAGATGTGAAAAAAGATGAAAATAGTACATGCAAAATTTTAATGGTTCAAAGTAAAAAGAGAGTCAAAGGCTAGTCTACCTAAGTGTAACCTAAAATCTGACAGAAATCAGAAGCAGATGAAAACTGGAGGAGACATGAAGATGCTACAAAGAAAGACAAAACTACATTCATTTATTCATTTATCCATCATCAATCCACCCAAACCAGAAACACCTTTGCATTTGTCTGCCTTTCATATTCACCTTTATTTACATTCAACTCCATTTTCTCTCTTTCCTAGCTCCTAATTTTGACTATATATATACCGAAAGCTAAGCTAAGTTTGGCTTTTAGTAGTCTCTTAATTATACCATAGTTGGAAGTTTAATTTTTACGTAACACTTTGAAAGTAAAGATTCCTAACTCTTTCCCCCCTTCTAAGAGGCTTAGTTCACTAGCTTACGTTAGGTTGACTCATACAGGATTTATAATTAAAAAAAGGGTGGTAAAACCACGGAATCTTTTTAATTCCAAGCAAATATAGTTGGTAGGATTCGAACCTGTAATCTCAAAGTCATAAAATAAGTTTCCGCCTACTTCATCAAACATTTTCCTAAAACTCGGAGTTTTGAAAATATGTACACTTGTTAAAAAAAACCGATGTTGAAGTTTTAACGTCGTCATCCGTATTAAGCTAGGCAACAAACTAGTTTGACATCTTTAGTCACTCTATTAATTATCTTTGAATTAAGCTATAAATCGTACTTCCTAGTAGTAATAGTACTAGTAATAGTACGAGCTAGTTAAGCATGCATGGTATTCTGGTCCCTAGCTATACATTACATTTCTATGTACCAAAATACCTCCCCCACGTGGGTTTTCTAAAACCACACCTATTCATTCCTTAGTAGCTAAAGGACAACACCTACCTAATCAATCTAATTAAGTGCTAATCCTCTTTTTTCTCTACTTAATTTGTGATGGGATATTCCCTTATTAATTGGTAGGTATAACTAATTAACTATACTATCTTGTTTCCCTTTCCTCATCATATTTTCCTAACACTAAACTCTCTTAACATAGTTTACAAATTAGGTTATGTGTGTAACTTCTATGTAGTTTTTATAATCGATTAAATTTACAGCTTTTACATAATCGACTCATCTTATGTTATAACTAGTTGAATTAATAAGATAACTGATTATTGCGTAATAGTTATTTGGTATAAGCGTAAAATAAAGATGTAAATTAAAACAATACAAGTATTACTCAAGGTTGTTTTAGTTTTGAAATTAGATTGTTTCTGCTACCCACTTTAATTTCTAAAAAGCAAAGGGAAAAAAAATAAAAAAAAATTGTTATGGCTATCTCTAGCGCACGTTAGGTGTTGAAAGCTTGAAACCTCAAATGCATGGCCGGGCCTTTATGCCCCCCGTAAACTAAAGTAGGATACAATATTATTGGTCAAGTATTTTTATTAGTAAATAACAATAATAATTATAATAATAAGATCTAAAAAAAAAGTGGAGCAAACTTTGCTTGTGTATGAATTATGATTGATGAGACTTAACTATATAAATGTAAAGCTTTTTATGACTTGTGTATTACATGTGCCATGACATAATTCACAAAGATTATACATGTAATTAATATTGCTTTTTAAAGGGATCTTTTGATTTGAATATGATTAAGTAGATTATCATAAAATGGAAGTTGCTTAGTTACTTTAATTAGTTAATTTTACTTTAAATTTCTTCTTAACCCACATTATGTTCTAGGTAAAGACTAGAATAGACCCGGTTTACAATAACTTATTGTAGACCCAACCTTCTAGTATACCATACGAATGTGATTATATCATACGACATGTGATTATATTACTGCAAAAGTGATTATATCATTTTGAAACTGTTATGTAAATGTATCACTCAAAAAGTAAATTTATCATTATAAAAAGTATGAAATGGTAAATTACATCATTCAAAAGATGATTTTTAAATTTTATCATCCTAAAGATAATTATATAATCTCATTAAATGGTTTAATATGAGATTATATAATTCAAAATATAACTCACAAAAAGATAATTATATTGTATAAAAAAGTGATTATATCATCCAGAATGTGATTATATTATTTGAAAGTGTCAAATTTTGGGTCTATAATAATTTATTGTAGACTGGGTCCATACAAGACCAATTGTATATTCTAACCATCCGATTATGTTTTTATATAGCTTTAAAATCTAACCATTCAATGTGTGTTTGGTTGAGAATTTAGATAACAAGATGATGAAGCTTCTAAAAGGGACCATAAAAATGATGCCACTCGTGGGGGGTGATGTGGACCCATAATTTTTACTAAAATTTGATAATTTTTGGAATTTTTCAAGTGGAAAAAAAAGAATAATGAACAAAATAAAATTTACTAAACGTTTACCTTGAGTTGATCAAGAGCAAGAGGGGTCTCGGTTAAATATTTGACTGCTAAAGTCATTGTTGTGGAAGTGGTCTCATACCCTGCCACCAACAAAGACACTAGAAAATCCACTATCATCTCATCGGAGAGTCCGCCACCGGCCTCCTCGTCGAGCATTGCCCCTAACATGTCGTTTTTTCTATCGCCTATCTCCTTTGCTTTTCTCCGCTCCCTTACCACCAAATTTAGTGCCTCGGCCACTTTAGTCCTAGCCTTGAACAAACAAAAAATAAACATAAGCACATAAATTAATTAGGCAGTGATATATTTTAGTAGTAAAGTTATACTAGTACTCCATAAAAGGTTTCATTTCATGTTTATTGAAAAGTTGTTAACATTTTTACAAATATACAAAATAATCATAGGAAAGTTGGTACACTTTTCCTCTAATTGTCAAAATAAAAGATGGGGATCCATACACAAAATAGGTCCCATTGATGCTTCTTTTGTGTCCAATATGTTTCCTTTATATGTTCCTCAAATTATCATAATACCTCCTCCACCATTATTATATAATTACTAGATGATGAAATTTATCCTATAACTAGTATATCTCCAACATTAAATTTACACATGATTAATGTATATATAATTTATATACTGCGTATTTATTTTGTTACCATTAAAAATAACCTAATAAATTTATAAATATATATATATATATATATATTTTCAGTAATACAGGTTGTCCTACATAAGTTAGTAGCCACTACGCACAACCACAATCATTCAAATATACGATATTGATATAAATAATTATCGATGAACACGAAGAAGAAGATTAATTAGGGATAATTACTTTAATGGCGCGATTGTACGTGGTAGAGAAGAAAGGCAGGGGAATGCTGAAGAAGCCATCAATAACAAGTAGGTACTCTTTTCTAAGGCTCTCGGTCCATTCACAAGGATCAAAACTCAATAGCTGCTTCATTGTTAATGCAAATGTAATCTGCATTCACACGTAATCATAAGATTTTGCTTAACTTTAATGTAAATAATTATGGTTGTATAATATTTAAACAACCTACCAACAATTTTATAAAGATACTATAAAGTAAGTGCATAAAAATATTAGTATTATATAGTTTAGAATTCATCAAATAATATTGATCTAAAAGAAAAGGATGGAGAATAATTAAACAGATCATCAAAATTGTGCGTATACTTATTGTTGCCGGAAATCACAATGATTTTCTTCCTTTCGCTTTTAATTTATTTATTGATAGTATATACTCTAGTACTTCGTATTAAAAATTATGAAAATTAAAGAAAAGTATTTAAATGTCACTACACTAATAATTAAAAAACACAATTACTTTATCTTGCTAATAGTCAATCACCCCTGCCCCTAATGTAGAGCAATTTACGTGTCGTAAAATAAACCAATCGCCTAATTGCCTTATAAGTAGACAATTAATACAGAGCGAAATATAGATAATAATCTTAATTTAGTCAAAAAGGATATTTAAGACATATTACCGCCCCGGTTAAATACCTAATTTTTTTGGGTGTTTAGAGAGTCATAAGGACGGTTGATAGAGAAATTCCTCACTCTCAATTAAATACCTAATTATTTAAGCAAAAAAAACTTTATTTATCGATATTAATAAACGTGGTGATCTTGGACAACCCGTAAAAATGTTCCTAGAAATGACAGGGACATACACAAAGCGGCATGTGGTGTGATTTATGGCAAGTTACGCGTAAAATTGGTACTAATAAAAGTATCACCATACAAATACAATAGTACTGAGTTTGGTAATCTTTTCCATCTTGTAAAAATAGAAAATAAAGGATTCGTACTATGAAATTAAACATAGGAGGAAAACAAAAATAAAACAAAATAAAAATTTGAGAAGAATGAGTTTGCTAATCCAGTCATACTTCTTTCACGAGGAATAAGGTCCCACAACTATAGTTAAAAAAGTCATAAAACAAATATTAGTGGTGTTATTTTCCCTTTTTAAGTATTGATTCTACTTCATTTTATCCTTCATCACTACCTTATAACTTAACATGTCCTTAGCTTTAACTAATCCCCCAACTTTAAATAAAGGTCAAATTAAAATTTTTATGCTAAAGAAGGTCAAACATTTGAACTAAAATTCATTTTTCTTTTTTCATGACTAAAAGAATCCATTTTTTTTAGAGGTTCAAGTTCAACCTCATTTGAACCTATCTCCCAATATTCTACAAATAATTTATTTTTTTTTAAGCAAGATACCAATTATTTTTTTGAGTGGAGATAGTCACAAAATGCACTAGTGAATTAATGATGAAGTCGGGATTTAATATTATTTTAACACTTTAATCAACTAAGCTACTTAACACCCATATATAATAAAATATTAATTAATTATTACTTTCAAGATAGTTACTTTTAAGAGAATATTATGCCAAGACAATATTATCGCGTTAACTAAAATTGTCCTAAGAGCGCAGCAATGAATATTATAAATTTGAGATTGAATCCCGTTTATATCATTGTCCTTTGTGACTCGGTTGGACAAAATTTGTAACATGGGGTGAGTTAAAAGGTAGTAATAGTACAAGTAGTAATGAGTAATGACTAACCTTTTTAGCTTCCTCCATAAGCAAGACTTTAGAAGGCCAAGACTCCAAATTAAAGCTAATCAAACGATCAATATCAAGCAAAAGATGATCACGAATAATAGCAGAATTAGTAAAACTCATAGTAAGAGAGTGCATCCTTTTATGCAAACTCCCTTTCATTAACAAAAGCGAGTATTTTCCAAGAAGATTCGAGATCGAACCCGGGTAACTACACTCAAACAACTTGCCTTCATTTTGGAGTATGAATCTATTAACGTCAGGATCGACGCTAAATATTGTGGGTTCACCGAAAACATGGGTGGTGAAAATGGGCCCGAACCGTTTAACGCGATCGTCGATAAACGGTTCGGGGTTCTCGGTTTTGTAGGCCGAGATGAGTTGGAGGGTCTCCCCGATGAGGGGGAGACCCGTTTGACCGGGGGGGAGGGTGTGGGACCGCCTACGGCGGAGGGTGAAGAGGAGGAGGGAGATGAGGGTGAAGGTGAGGGAGAGAGTGAGTGTGAAAAAGAGGTCCATGTTTTTTTTTTTAATTTTTGGGAAAGTGGTGAAAGAAATTAAAATGAGAGTGGGATTTTAAGGGGGAGGAAGAATTTAAAGGGGGGAGTGGAGGAAAGTGGGGGGAGGGAAAGAGCACACGGGTGGCTGAGTTTAATGTGCTGGTGAAACAAATTGGATTGGGGTGTGGGGTCCGGTTGGAAAATATCGATAAGTAGGGAGAAATGTCCACTTATTCGTATGTTGCTGTCATGCAGAGGTGTTAAAAACTAATCTAATTAAATTTGAGTAAATATAGTCTAACTTAAAAATAACTTGATCTAGAATAATGGATGGAGGTAATATGTATCCTTAACTTTGATCTTGTTGTAGAGAATCCTTTTTGATTGTAATTTACGACTGGGAATCTGTTCCTTAACAGTTATAAGTTGTTAAAGTATTTTTTTGGATACCACTCATAAATGGATAACTAGAAGCACAAGATTAATATCTAAATTGATGTTATAATGTATCCACAGTGTCTCTATTGATATCATGACCAGTGTTTGAAAGTTTTATCCACCATATCACTCTAATAGTCTTTTCGTAAGGATATGGAACTCAATTGTAAAAATATCCGATTGGATGCTAGTATACCTTGCATATATACCTTATCAAAACCCAGTCAACAAACCAAGGTCATGGGCATAATCTCATATATTTCATACATACTTTTCATAACACAAATCGTAATTGAATCACAATAAACAACAAATGACACGTATATTTGTCATAGATTATGGAAATTAGAAAACTTATTTAAGTCCTATGTCAACAAATTTGTTTTATAAGAGATGCATGCTAAGCTAGAATGCCTTGTATTTATGTCCTAGTTCTCCTAAAGATGTTTGATATGTAACGTATATATAGCTAATTTTTGCCCCCCATTTTCCCTTGCTTATCCTCCATTTTCTCACCTAAAAAGAGGAAGCTAAATAATTAATCCATGTGATTAGTTCTCGTTAATGAAATCAGTCAAGCAAAGTCAGCTACTACTTGAACAAGTGCATGAACACCATCAATTTCACAAGTCGTCCAATCTTTTCTTCCTTTCCCCCTTTTTAGTTTATCTTCTCACATGAAAGCATCCTCATTGCTTCATCATCATTAAAATGGCTCACACTTTAATGTGATTTTCATATATCTTTGAATGGCAAGAACAATGATAGTTAAGCATGGCTTCTTTGATAAAAAGTATCACATACCATCATTTTCACCCATCGATTATAATTTATAAGGTTATAAAGTGCTATAATTACAATAAAATACTTTAAAAGAAAATATCTTCTCGGCCAATAACTATAATTAGTAAGACTTGAATTTAAAGCAAGGTTACAATAAAAGAATCCTACTAGAGACACCTGACACCTTTCGATCATCTCAAGCTCCATACAACTCATAAAAACCCGACATTGTACTATACACCGTACACAAGGCACAATTTGCACGTTTGTGTACCAACTTGAGATCGATCGAAGTAGAATCTACCCCTTTCCTCACGGCAAGGGCACCTTGAAATCTTATTATACAGAGAAAATGAGGTAAGAATGAAGTATCGATATAATTAACCGAAAGTTTACCTGTTACAAAAACCTTTCTACGTACCCATATTACACCCAAATATAAATAAGAAGCCTAAGTAAGAAAAGCCTAGCTAGCACGTGTCTAAGCTAGTGGTTATGATATGAGAAGTTGTCCACTTATATTATAATCATTATTATTAGTAGACTCCCATACTATTAATCATCTTTAACAAGAGTAAAGTGCATTTTCATCTATATGTCACGTTATAATTAACTTTTTGAACCATGAGAGAATCTCACTATGTATATTTTATACATCCTATAATTCCTTTTAGCTAAGATAAGCTGTAAAAATAAATATAAAATTAAAAATTAAAAAAAACCATATCAAACATTCTTAAATCCTGTAGATAATGGTGTTGAATCAACCAACCTTTATTCTTAAATAAATTATATTATTAGTTTTGTAGCATATTATTTGTTTAATGGAAAAGACATATATAGTCCCAATTCACCCACATGAAGTACTTATATTAGATCGGTTTGTTTTTATATCTATAAAATAATTAGACTATAGGTAGGTTAGTAGTTTTGAGACAAAAATACAATCCATGATTTCTGGGATTTGGGCAAATCTAAATTAGGAGCTTTCACTGTATTGTTTGTTAGCTACTTAACTAAAACTAGACCAAAATTATGTTTTCAAATATTGATACATGTCTAATATTGGATATTTTGAACCCTACTTTTTGTCATTTTTGTTGACTTTTACATGATATGGTGTATCATTTTGTTAACTAATTGGGTCAATGGAAATAGCATTTGAGGTTTAGTGTCACTTTTTTTTTTTCAACCAGCTTGAGGTTATGAGTCAAGTAATGTGACTCAAACCCCAAATCTCATTATATGTTTGGTCAAATTATGCATTCTTCTTACACGATACTAGGCCAAATTATAGCTTCATGCATTGCGCCATTGCCCTCCTTAAGTCCCTCTAGCCCCCCTTCCTCGGCCACCACGCACGTACACCTAGCTACGTACCTAGCCACTACCCCTACGTATTATTTATCAATATTATCATGAATTTTGAATTGAAGGTGAGGAGGTCATCACTACCTACCCTGGCTTCAAGATTATAAATTCGGAAGGTAAGGGCATTATCACCTACCTCAGGTATCATACCGACTTCAAAATCTAGCATGAATTCGAAAGATGAGGACATTTATATCTACTAGGCCCTAGTACGTACGTATGATATCAACTTCAAGATCATGAATTCGAAATAAGAATTCATGCTACGTACCACCATACTAGTCATATCCAATAGCTAGCACGCTCCCCCCAAGTTTAATTTTATATTTACACGAATCTAGCTTATTATCAAGATTGCTATATGGGTACATAGCAAGATATAGTAGCACAACTTAAAATGAGTGCCCTACACAATTCATTGGATAGACCCTGGGCCAAGATTATCGCTGTGCCTTTCATAAATGATAAGATCGTTCGGGACCAAATAAAATCTAACTTAGACGATCCATCACATTCCATAGATAGATTCTCATCATATATACACTATAAGTTTTTGTCATTTTTATCTAGAACAATCATATATTGTGTATATATAATTGAATGAATATATAATCAATCAAATTGAAAGCTCATCTTCCTATTTATCATTATGCTAATTCAATTATCATATAATATTAATATATAATATAAAGTTTCATATTTCATATTCATACATAAAAATATGTAATGGGCTAATACAAATACACGAGGAAACTAAATTATTCAAGTGGATATGTAGGGCCTTAAATAATGTATGCCGCATGATCAATTATCCTAATGTTAATTTGCCGACATAATGCATGTATCAAATCCAATATTGCTCTTCTCAAATTGTCCTTTTTTTAATCGTATGGCTAACTTCATCGGATGTAGCATATATATATATATATATATATATATATATATATATATATATATATATATATATATATATATATATATATATATATATATATATATATTTTGCTCCAAAGCTGTCTTGATCATAAATAATAATTGTAAAGTTAATATCTTGCTTACAATGATAAGGAAGAATATTATTTGATATACTACTGTATAAATTATTAGGGGATCTTTAATTTTTGTCTTTTTAATTTGATGGCATTAGTTTCAACTCGCTTGTTATTATTAAGGATAAAAAAAATATTATGTCACGCATACAATTCGTTTATGAATTATTAAAGATATTTATAGTAATTGATATAAAAGTTTAATTATGACTAATACATAATTACGGAGTACGTAAATAATAATCAAGTAAGTTACCGAGTAAAATACTTCCTTTAATTAGATTCTATATATCTTATAACAGTAAAAGATACGAGTATAATTTTATAAGATCGAAAACCACTCCATGAAATGATATGGAGTACTAGTAAAAAAAAAAAATCAGCAGCCAACTCCACAAACTAGTTGGTGACTAGATTTAAAAGCTCCATTAGAAATGAAGAGCAATGTAGTTCTATAGTTAATGTTTGGTTAGTAGTTTAGTACTCCCCCACGACCAAACTATTGGCATTTTGCATTGTGTGTCAAAGTCAAACTGACACGGTCAGCTCACGTGCACGGGACACGAGGTCTGTACCACACGCGTGGGACTGACTTTGCCAGGTTTTTTTTTTATTTCAGAGGTTGCAAGGCAAAAAGAAGCATATTTGCTCTTTATAGATATTTTTCTTCGATTTTATTATTATTATTATTATTACTCCTTTGTTTTTTAATATTTCAAAGGCTCAAGCACACAAAATTTAAGCTGAGGTGAGAGATTATTATTTGTAAAAGAAAAAAAAGATAAAAATTCAATGAAGGAAGAAAATAATCTAGAAAAAGCATAGGTAAATATGGTAATAATTGTAATAGAAGAGAAATGAAAAAATACATACCACTGCAATAATTAAATTTGAAAATACTTTTAAATTTATATTTCCTTTAACCCTTATTTTTTTTCCTTAGAAATATGTTACGGAGTACTTTATTAATTTTTGGTTGGTTAAAATTGAGAAAAAAGAAAAATGATAAGGTTACTAAAATAAATGTGAGAGTGAGTATATCCTACTAAATACTCGATTACTACGTAAGTGTTTTATATTGAGGAGAAAAAAAAAAGACAAATACTTTATACGGCTAAGGGATTACTCCTCTTATTGTCCTATGATTTTGAGATGAAATCACTTTTGGACTTGTGAAACGGACTCTCTTTAAATTTGCGGATGAAGCCTAAACCCGTATTAGTAAGAGGTGTTGAGTGGAAAGGTAATTAGGAGTAGCAAATAAAAATGGAAGTGATGCAATAATACTCCGTATGAAGGAATGAGAGATAACGATAAGGTGGGTGCATTTACCAAGGTAAGAAAGAAATGGGTCAAGCTTCAGTGTTCTGCCAAACTACACGAATGGCAAGATGTGATTGTCTGTGTGTTATGCACGTGTGTCTTTTCTCATTACGATTTTACTCCATTTCGCCCATTTCTTTATTTCTTTGTAACCCATCTTTCGGGCTCATTCTAAAAGAGGCGGTAAGCCTGGTTTCACGCCTGAAAGTTAGAAAACTAGTCAATTACTCCAGCCTCCTATCTTATCTTATTTTACCTTATTATATATTATTTTTTATTTAAACGAATTTTATAAGTCTTGTTTAATTAAAACGACTATACCTTTAAACTTCAAAATTGATGGTTCGATTCTTTATAAAGATACATACTTTGAGAATTGAATTCATCTCATCCCATCTCGTTATATCCCATAGACTACCCCTAGCCCTAGTACATTATTTGCCTCTTGTCCTGCCAAGATAGAAATGAATAAGAAAGAAAGGAGAATCACTTATTATTAAACCAATTTCATAACTCATGGTTTAATTTATTTGCAACAGTAACGAATTGAAGTTTCCTTCCTAGATAGTACATGAAATAAACAGAAGCTAACATAAATGGCATTGATTGTTATGAAGTTGAAATAGGAAGATGCAGACAAAAAGTAGAGTTAATCATCATTATGATTCTGTCGATTTCAAGTCAATGTATAATGATATATAGGAGTAGTAATTACGATCCATTTATAGCCAATTTGTTATCTAGATACATCTTCTTTCTGCCAAGTGCTAACACAACAGGAGTATCATATTTTTAACACAATTGACATGCATATACTGTATGCTCTATAAGGTTTTAAACATTGCATATTCAATTTGCATGTCATTTATGGATGAAAAAATTGTCAATTAATATTGCACACATAAGACTATACTTTTAAGGGTCCTGTTGTGATTACCTTAATTTCAGTTCAGTTTTTTTTTATTTCATTCCCAATGCCTTAAAGTAGAGGGATCGGAGGAGGTAAGAGAACTCATATACCCAAACAAATATAGTAGTGGGGCTTGAACGCGTGACATTAAAGTCACAAGGTGAGTTCTCCACCAATTCCATCAAGTATTAATTACTTGGTATTATAATATGTAGTATACTAGTATATGAGTATATCTACCTCTATCATGGATATTGTACGTACAACATATAGGTCAAATCCTATTACTTCAAATTAATCATCTTTTTCAACTAGAAATTATCTAAAATTTAATGAGTATGTCAAAGTGGCATAATATATATTCTGGAGATCTGATCTACTTATAAATGATTCAAGTGAAGTCATATGCTTATAATCTGTGTAAATGTATTGATTTTTTCAATTTAATTTGAGAGTAGTTAGCATATGTTCAACAACCCCAACAACTAACACCATATATTTATTTTCCATTTTGTTTACTCCACTCAAAATACTAATACTAATCCTTCCTCAAAATAGCAAGCAACAAAAAAAATTGATTCCATTTCATCAGCATATCTACTAAAGAGAATTACCAAAATGTCATGGATCTTACAACACGTACTAGTATATAATTAGTACCACAAAATTGCAATCATCATTTTTCAGAATCAAATCCCCAATGATTTTATTTTTTAATTTTTTTAATATTTATTATTGTAGTACTTGTACCCAAAAATTTATAAAAAAAGATTTATCAATCTCTTATTAGAAGAATATGCAATGTTGTTCTTTGCCTATCACTAATTATAAATAGGAATATAATATTTTTTGCCACTAATTAATTTGTTGTCACAAAAAGCATAAAAAAAAGGAAAAAAAAAACAACAACATTTTGAAATAAACCAAACAATTGTTATTCTAGTGAATTGAATAAAATGAGCTACTCATGCTAATTATTTTATTGATTGACATCCTACCAATTAATCTTTACACAAACTTGGATGCTAATTACTTTCTTTGATACATTAATTAGTGACATATAACAATTCTACTTTTTGCCTTGCTTGGATTAAAGCAAGACATAATTGGCTCAATATTCACCGTGAATATCTTTAATAGTTGGTGGCTAATTAAATCACCTTTTGGCAAATCCCTTCTCTTATAGGAAGGTTTTTTTTTTTAAAAAAACAAGGGTAAGAAAATAATGAATATTCAGACACCCTTCTCACGAGAAGAACACGAACACCTAATGAATTTGAAGTACACATAAGAATTCTAATTCTTAAATATCAACCAAACAACAAATCACCTTTTTACTCGCACATTTATATTTCAACTCTTATGTTATTTTGAACTATAATGCGTATCATACTCTTATACGTACAGGATCTTATTTGTAGTCGGACTATATAACGTTAATCTTGTTTATTGAGAGAAAGAGTAGTTTGTAGTTAGCAAAGTTTTTATTGCATACTAGTGGTATGTATGATCTAATTTACATCAACCGACTTTTTTTTTTTTATTAATTACATTAATTTAAAAGTAAGAGCCGTAAGATTGCAAGAATCACTGCGACAAATCGACATAATAATGGTAAAAGTGAGTGATGGGGTTTGACAGTTGACACAAGCAACATATAATTGTCTCAAAAATGGATGTCTTATATTATGATGAGGGAATTAATAATGAGAGTAATCATCGTTAACAAAGAAAGCTACATTATTAATAATTAATACGAGTTTGTGTTAAAAGCTTTACGCAGTTGTTTCTTTTTTCACTTTTTTTCTGTCTCCTCTTTTTTTGCTATCATGTCAATTTTTTCATGCCAACGGTGTCCACCAATTTTCCTTGATTTTTAACAACAATTATTTCATGAACTCCCAAATATAAATATATAATGGTGGCTACCTTTTGTTGGTTTAGAATGCTAGTAATTGGGCCGAGTGATTTTTCTTTACTGGACTTTATTTAGCCTATGCAACTGGCCCAAAGTGAGTGAGGACGACAAGGATTGGGTCAAGGCCCGTGTTAATGAGATGGTTTCAAACACTGAGTAGGCCTCTCAAAGCTCTTTGGGAACCCATATTTAGAAGCGTCTCAATGCCTAATCTTGTTAGGTCCGAATTTGTTCTCCGGGTGCTAAGTTTGAAGGCATACATGAAATCGGATAATTTTCAAAGATATGGGGATCCGCTCTCGAAAGCTCAAATGATGGTAGGGGATGCATTATGAGGTCAGTCAAGTCATTTTGAATTATACACAATCACTAGTCGGTCACATAAAGTCATGTAGAGACTTTGTTAGGATGGAAGGAGGAGTGTGACGCAACCAACCAAAATGATAGTGTAAAGATAGAGTGAATTGTTACAAGCACTCATATGATTTCCTAGGATTTCATGGGGTTCATGGAAAGCACCTTGTGCTATTTCCTTACTGAATCTAAAAAAGTCAAAATTCTATTCAATATTAAAGGCTATAATTCACGTTTTACACGGAATTGGGCCAATCACTTACGTATCAGGGTTGGAAGTTGAGGATATGAACAATTGGACACAATATGATCCTTTGAAGAAAAAGGACTGTTTAACTTATTTTTGAAATTGGGCTTTTAAACACTTTAACATTGGGTTATCTTCAAAGTTTGGACTTTACCATTATATTGGAATAACAGGCAAAAGGCCTTGCAACTTTTATGAATGTCAAATCTTTGAAGAGGGAATTTTCTATTAGATGAAACTTATTAATCAAGTGTCAACTCTTGTAATTTAACCAAACAATATTATCATGGCATCCGGGACTTTGTCAACTCATTCATAATTTTTTGAAAGAGAAAATGACCTAGTGTAGATTATTGATGTAATATAGTCTTAATTATTTTATAACTTTTGTACACTTGTTCTAATCTTTGTTATTGCTTCATTAAACATATCTTCAAATATGTCACTTGTACATCTTTTGTTGTCAATATACACCCAAATACATTTCTTGCTACCTTGTTCTTGTTCAAAGTCTTTCATTTTTTAATAATGCTCGAAATTCTAGTGCTACACGATATAACTTCATGAATTGTCTTATAAGCCTAAGAGGTCATAGTCACATGTAAAAGCATAATTTCAAAGTTACCCTCTAACACACACCAGTACATCAATGAATCTCTACCTTTGATCACCTACTTAATAATCTCGAGATTAAAATTACCTCAAATATAATTCCCACCGCCCCACAAAAAAAACGACACCAAAAGGAAAAAACTTTGCATTATTATAGCACTTTTTTACTTCACGAAAAGAGAGTGAAAAATATAATGGGGTCATCCCAAAAAAAGAAATTTCATAAAAATAAATAAAAAAGGAAAGATTGTGATTGTTATAAACTCAGAATATTTGTGGATCTCTTCTTCACATTTCTTCTTGGTATTGGTATTGTTGCAACTTCACTGGGTAACAGGTAAAATATTTCAACCGTTCTCTTCTTTTTCTCTTTTGCACGTTTCATTTAATCGGGCATCTTTACTTTATTCAAACCTTACATTTGATCAAATTCTTTGCGTATACTTCTGGAATCATTCCCATCAACTTTCCCAAGCTATCATCATCTTAATCATTTTTTTAATTTTTTATGATTAACCCCTTTAAATTGTTTTTGTTCTATTTAATTCTTTTTATCAGGAATTTGATTTTCTGTGATTTTGTAAAGTTATTTCTGGGTTCTGAAAATTGGATAAAATTGAGTTTGTTGAGAAATGGGGAGGCTGTTTGTGGTCAATTTGGAAGGGAAGATCTACAGTTGCAAGCACTGTAGGACCCATCTTGCTCTCAGTGAAGATATCGTTTCCAAGGTCTAATTCCTTCTTTTTATATATATATATATATAAATATTTTTAAATAAATTTTTGATAAAAAAAATATATCTTATGATTTTGTGTTGATTTTTGGAATTGGGTTATCTTTAATTTGCATGATCATAATCATACATGGGTTATTCATGATTTGGGTTGTGTTTATTTTGATGGTTGACTTAATAAGATTTATGTGTCAGGTTATTGCAGAATTAAATTAGACATTTACTAGATTTTATCTGGGTTACTTTTTTTAGTTTGATGGTACAATTTGACAGTACTGATTCTATTTATATAAAGTTTTTGCTGTTACTTATTTTTAATTGGACTAATTTAGTCTTTTGAAGTTGTTGATCAATGACATATGTTACATTGCTAGTTCTTTTTATCTATTGCAAATAAAGATTTACCCTTTTGGAATCTGGAATGATTAACAGTGTTTCATTGAATCATAAAGTATATTGGGTTGTTAGAGTATTGCAATTGGGAAATGTTGGATTTTTGGTTTCCAGAAGTTGTTTAGGAGCTTTGTTGTGCTCCTATATTTGTCATTTTGAATTAGTTGTGTTCTTGCTGCTGTGTGTAGCTGTGTGTAGATGGCTTCTGCTATATATCATCATGGTGGGTATCTTTAGATGTTTCTAGGATTGGAACGGACCAATACAATTAATGCTATTGAGAAATGTTATTTGGAGCTGTTGCTTCCTTGACTGAGCAGGCTTAAACAAACTGCAGTATAATAATGTAAACCATCTAGCTGTTGTATGGAGAGTGGCTTGATTAGACTAGCTTAGTTTTGTATGCTGGTTTGCAGCATGAGTCGATGAGTTGATCTAAGGATGTGAAGTGTTGTTAGAAAGAATGGGATGCTTTTTTGTTTGTTTGGCACACTGGTAGGACTACTGCATTGAATTTTGGTTAACCACGGAGCAATCTTGTGGCGATGCAGGGTTATTTGATTAACTTGTTAGAATTTAGAAGTACACTCTAAATTCATGCGAAGAGGAAAAGTAATTTCTATATAGAATATGACTATTGTCACACCATTTGGAATGAGTGTTGCTGCTAGCTATGTTTTGATAGCGAATGGTTGTGGTATATTGTTCATGTCTCTATAAACAAAGTCATTGGTGCATGTGCACTACGAAATCTAGACTTGTGATAGATGCTTTTGAAGTAAGTTCATATTGTGGGATGAAAATGGGATAGGAATCCAAGATGATGTTGAATTTTGAATTCCAGAGATGTGTGTGTCATAAAAATGTTTTTGCTCTTGGTTAAAATTTCCTGTTGCCTTTCCACTCTATCCTGATTTTGAACTAGTTAAAAATTACTGTAAGTTGGAAGGGGAAATTTTTATTTAGTCCACTATCTGACTGCAGTTTTACATGTGTTGTTGATCCAGTCTTTCCACTGCAAGCATGGGAAAGCTTATCTCTTCAATAAGGTGTAAGTTTCCTGAACTATTTGAATTTGTTTCTTTATAAAGAAACAGATATGCTGTATGCTCTCTGATCTCTAAATCATAGATGAGATTATGACTCTACAATCTATTTATGGAGGTCTTCAGGCCTTGCTTCATTGCCATATACAACTTGGAACATCCGTTATAATATGATATGCAAGATATGTAATGTACCTTATATTACCAATTGAAAGATGTAAAAATGGCTGATCATAGGACAATGAATCATCATGGACATATGTCTATGATAGTATTATGGGAATGTCTCTTTTTATGCTTCCTAGAACACATGAGTATCACTTTTGCTTCTCAGAAAAATATCTCAAATACGTTTGACAGTGTTAACGTCACCCTCGGAGAGAAAGAAGATAGAATGATGATGACTGGTATGCATTCCGTGGCTGATATTTTCTGTGTTGGATGTGGATCAATCGTGGGTTGGAAATATGTAAGCTTTGCAGGCTGAAATCCTATCAAACATAAATTCTCATGTATGATTGGGCAAATTGTTTGCCGTTAGTTACTGTTGTGGGATGTCTTCTTTCAGGAGACTGCCCATGAAAAGAGCCAGAAGTACAAAGAAGGAAAATCTGTCCTTGAGCGGTCAGTAAGGAAAACTAACCAGATCATTCCTATCGTTAATGACCTTGAAAATTTATGACTTGTTACGGGTCTCTTTGGTTGAACAGGTATAAGGTGTTTGGTCCTGATGGTAGCAACTATTGGGTCACTCATGAGGCTCATATTGGTGGAAGTGACGCGGATAATGTTTGATGGCATGAAACAAAGATCATGGTTGATTGCCTCTTATTCTCCAATTGTACATAATTTAACCCCCAATCCTTTCAATTGAACTTATGGTTTCCCAAATTGTTTGATTATCAACTCGGCTTTGCCACATTGACATAAATGGGAACCCTCCATTGTTTCTGAATTCCTGTATCATGTATTCTGTTCAAACTGTCCTTGTAAATCATCTTAATGTTAAGCAATTTACTTTGTGTCAAACATTTTTTGTCCTTGTTATTTAGTATTTCGATTTCTTGTTATAAAATTTGCATTTCTTTGATTTATTTTCTTTAATTAAAGAAATATCAAAAGTGTAATTTCAATTAAGTTCTTTGACTTTCTCCTTTTAAGTAAAACCCTTGCTCTTGTTGTTCCTATTCAAAATGATAGGGAGTACTTCAATAGTCAAGATTTGCACAAGTAATTGGAGATCCTCTTTGTTTTATGGTTGCTTTTTTTTTTGGTGGGTTAATTTTTAATGCCTCACATTTGTTTTTTTTGGGGTGCACACGAGGGGCTAAGGCCCAAAGAAAACAAAAATTAAACTAAGGCGGAACAAAATGTGGCAAGACTATTTTCCAATATCATCATTATGCAAAATATGCCCTAAAGCTAAAGGAGCCTTTTTTGAAATTATTGTCAATTATTCCTTGAAACATGTTTTAAGGATGTGTTTAGTTCACTACAAAGCTGTTGGAATCATTCGAACCCATAGCCCAAATCTTGGTAATAGGATGTGTTTGGGTCCAATTAAGCCAATTGGGCCTAGTCATTAAATGATCCAATATTCCGAGGTCAAGGCCCAAGCCTCCTTTAAGCCAAGTCAGCATAAGGTCAAGTGGTCCAAATTGTTATGGTCAGCCCATGTCTATTTCCGGCCCAAGTATCCTCCTTCCTTATATGCTAAGGTATAAAAGCCTTCAATTACATCATTTGTCATTAATTCACATTAAAGCCTCAAGCATTAAATCTCTTGCATAGCTTTCTCTCTCTAAACACTGTTTGACTTCGGCATCGGAGAGGTCCTCCTCGGATCCACCCCTGAGGCCAGTTTACGTGTGTTTGCTGTGCAGGAAACCTTCGGCCCAGCATCATTTGGACCAGATTAGTCTTTATCCACTTCATTGGACCTTCGGCAAGGTCCCATTGTTTTCACCCGAAACAATTTGGCGCCGTCTGTGGGGAAGACTTTCAAAAAATCTTTAAGCCAATTAAAACCGTCTTGCAAAAATCTTAGTAGCAATGGCTAAGAACCGCAAGAACAAGCGACTAAGTCAAGGAGCAGGAGAAAGGCCTAAGACTCCTACACCATCACCTTCTCCGGACCGGAACTCTTCTAAGGGTGCCAGTTCGGGAGGATCATACCGGGAGGATTCCCTTTCTCCTGTAATTCACAACTCTCATCATAGACCGAGTCCTCCTTGGTCTAACAGAAGTCAGTCCGATCATAGGACTCAATCAGTGCCCCAAAGCCAACCCTTGACCATCCGCTCTCACTCTCACACTCAGCCGAGGACCCCTCTAACGGGGCCCAACTCGGAAGAAGTGGCAAGAGCGCTGGCGGTGCTCATGGAAGCAATGAGGGCACAAAATATGCCTCCACCTCGTGACCGAACTCCTCCGCATACTAGACATCAGCGGAGGAAGCTCGACCAAGAGGGGGGAAACCTCCCTCCTTCAGGGAGCTGGAAGAGTGGGAAGAGGACACCTGGAGGACTGAAAGGGAGAGGAAAAAGAACCCTCACTTTTTCAAAGAATCCTCTACCTCTCGGCCAGATACTCATAAAAGCAGCAGCTCCGCCTCTCGGCCAGAAACTGTTCGCCGAGAGCGACCTGAGACTGTTCGCCGAAGCGTACTTGACCGACTCGGCAGCAGGGAGCCGAGTGTGCATAGCCGCCTCTTATTCCCTGTAGCCGAGGCCCGAACTTCCCAGCTAGGGACGAAAACCACTCTTACCTCTCTAAGAGGGCAGAGCGCGGTCCCTTCGGCCAGGAACAAGGGTAAGGCGGTGATGCTTCCTACCAGTTCCCCATTCGAGCAATGGATTTTGGAAGAGCATGTGCCGACGGTTAAAATCTCGTCGCACATTACATATGATGGAACTTTCGGATTCGAAGGACCATATTGCCTCTTACGAGGGGCACATGCATCTTTGCCCTAGGTCCGAAGCGACCTGGTGCAAATATTTTCCCACCACTCTCAAGGGGGTCGCGCAAGCATGGATCTCCAAGGGAGTAAAGGAAGGCTCTATAACGGGGTGGGACGACCTGTCCACCAAGTTCAAGAGCAAATTCTCCATGGCAAACCGAGAGAAGACCACTGCAGAGCTCATGGGCCTGCAGCAAGGGGAGACCGAGAGTCTCCGGGACTACTTGACTCGTTTCAGCAACGAGTGATCCAGCGTCTCTCAGCTGGACCAGGCACTGGCCTTTTCGCAATGTAGAATGGCTTTCAGCCCGGGAAGTTCCTTGAATTCATGGTCATGCACACCCCGCAGACCCTGGAGGAGGCTCTGAACGCCTCGGATAAATTCATCCGAGCAGAAGAGTGGAACAAAACAAAATCCCAACCCCAATCCGGGGTGGGAAGCAAAAACAAACGTCTGAAGGCCAAGGCTAGAAGGCGAGAGGAAAGGCGAAAGCCTCAGAATAATCTCCGGCCAACGAGCCGAAGAAGGAAAAATCTGCTCCTTTCACAGGCAGATATGAATCCTATACTCCGCTGACCCTCCCGCGCGCTAAGATCTACAGTGTGACGAAGGAAGAGCAGAGTTATAGGAAGCCGAGATCACTCCCTGAGTGGTATCAACGCAAAAATAAAAATCAGTGGTGTGAGTTCCACGAATCACCAGGACACAACACTGAAGAGTGTATCCAGCTGAGGGACCAAATCGAAGATATGGTTCGGAAGGGATACTTGAAAAAATACATCGCGAATCACCGCGAGAAAAAAGAGGCTGAGAAATCCGAAAGGGACTCTCGGCAAGAGCTCGACTTCCCCCGAAAGAACAACAAAAATTCGGAGGGAAAATTCCCTCCAATCAACGTTATTTCGGGAGGAATATGTTCTCGGAGGGAGCATAAACGTCACCTTAGGGATCTGACCCATCAGGTGAACAATGCCAGCATTCAGCCTCCCCAGTCGCCGGTGCCGAACATGAAATTCACATCCGCCGACTGCCGGGGGGTGACGTACCCTCACGAGGATCCGTTGGTAATTATCGCCACGGTGGCCAACCACGATATCAGCAAGGTTCTTGTTGATGGTGGCAGTGGAGCAAACATTCTGTTCCGAAAGGCCTACAATCAAATTAAGCTGAAGCCCAAGCACCTCACGCCGGTACCCTACCCGGTATCCGGATTCAATGGGGCTTCGACTTATCCAGACGGGAAGGTAACACTTCCTGTCACCGTCGGTTGTGATGAGGCAGCCAGGAATGTCATGACCGAATTCTTAGTCATCGACGCTCCTTCTGTGTACAACGTGATCATGGGGAGACCCATTATTCACGAGATCCAAGGGGTAGTCTCGACATACCATCAGCTGATGATCTATATCTCGGATGTCGGCTATCCCGAAAGGATCGAGGACAGCCAAAAGGAGGCCCGAAGGTGCAACTACCTCAAGCCATCCACTAGTCGTACAAAAGAGGACGACGAGGATGAGGAGGAGAAAGATAGGCAACCAAGTGCGAAGAAGCCGAAAGGCCTAAGTGCTTCGGCTCAAGGAGACCTGGCCAAAGAAAAAGGCCCAGGAAAAGAAAAGGCTAGCTCATCATCTGAGTCGAAAGACTCAGAGAGCCAGCCGAAAAAGAAAAAAATCTGGAACCCCTGATGACATAGACAGCAGGCCAGAAGACGATGAGTCCAGCCCCACGGCAATGAGCTGGACCAGCAGACCAAAACGGTCGAGTTGACCGAAGGAGACGCCGAAAAATGCGTTACAATCGGGCTGGATCTTGATCCGAAAGTCCGCGTCGAGCTTATCCAACTCTTTCGGGATAACCGAGATGTGTTTGCTTTCTCGGCAGCTGACATGCTCGGGATAAGCCCAGACCTCATCTCCCATAAGCTTAACGTCGACCCAACGTGTCGTCCAGTTAAGCAAAAGAAGCAGAATTACTCCGCAAATAAGAACCGAGACATCGCAGCCGAGGTCAGAAAGTTACTAGATGCAGGCTTCATCAAACCCTGTCAAAATCCAGAATGGCTGGCTAATGTGGTGATGGTTCAAAAGGAAAATGGCACCTGGAGAATGTGCGTTGACTCCACGGACCTAAATAAGGCGTGTCCGAAGGATTTTTATCCCTTGCCGAGGATCGATCAGTTAGTCGACTCGACAAGTGGCCACGCCTTGCTTAGTTTCATGGATGAATTTTCTGGGTATCATCAGATCTTCATGCATCCCGACGACCGAGCAAAGACGGCATTCGTCACGAACGCCGGGGTGTACAACTACAAAATGATGCCCTTCGGATTGAAGAATGCGGGGGCAACATATCAGAGACTGGTGGACCAAGTTTTTGCCGAGCAAAAGGGCCGAAACATGGAAGTCTACGTTGATGATTCAATCGTCAAAAGCAAAAAAGATGAAGACCATGTTAAGGACCTGGCAGAAACTTTTGCCACCCTAAGAAAGCACCATATGAAGCTGAATCTGAAGAAGTGTGTCTTCGGCGTGAAGTCAGGGAAATTCCTTGGGTTCATGGTCAGCAAAAGAGGGATTGATGCCAATCCTGCCAAGGTGCAGGCACCGCTCGATCTTCCCGAGCCGAAAACAAAGAGGGACGTTCAGCGGTTCACCGGAAGAATGGCATCCCTTTCGAGGTTCATCTCCAGGGCCTCAGATAAGGGGTTACCTTTCTTCAAAGCCCTGAAACTCCCAAAAACAAAAGAGCTCGTATGGGAGGACGAGCAAAAAGAAGCCTTCAAGCAGCTTCGGGAGCACTGACTTAGCTCCCAACGCTGGCTAGCCTAGTAGAGGGAGAGTCCCTGTACTTGTACGTGGCTGTCAGCCCAGCCACCATCAGTGCAGTGCTGTTGAGGGAGGAAAATAAAATTCAGCAACCGATCTACTTCGTCAGTCACACTCTGACGGATTCCGAGACCCGCTACCCCTTACTCGAAAAAGTTGCTTATGCGGTGGTGGTGGCTGCTCGGAAGTTAAGACCCTATTTTGATTGTCAACAGATAGTGGTTTTGACTGATCAGCCGCTGGAAAAAGTTCTCGACAAAGTTGAGAAATCTGGTAGGCTGGCCAAATGGGCTTTCGAGCTTACAGAGTTCAGCATCAGCTATCAGTCGAGAGCAGCCATAAAGGCACAAGCTCTGGCGGACTTCCTGGTCGAATGCTCGTACCAGGAGACACTAGATGATGAAAAGAAAACCTGGACCGTGTTCACGGATGGATCCTCCACCGTGAATGGTTCGGGGGCAGGGGTGGTTATAACCTCTCTTGAAGGCAAGTCCTTCGAATATGCACTAAAATTTTCATTCAAAGCTTCGAACAACGAGGCCGAATATGAGGCGGCCATTGCCGACCTAGAATTGTGCATCTCGCTGGAAGCCGAACATGTTTTTATGAAAACAGACTCTCAGCTAGTTGCATACCAGATTGGTGGCAATTACGAGGCCAAAGAGCCCTCGATGATATCGTACCTCGCCAAGATCAAATCAGTTATTGCAAACTGAGAAATTTCGAAGTTCTGTTGATCCCAAGGGGTCAGAATGCTCAAGCCGATGCACTCTCTAAACTTTCTAGTTCAACTCTCACCGAGCTGAACCGGTCGGTTTACGTGGAAGTGCGCCGAGAAAGAAGTGTCGACGAAGCACCTGAAGTGTGGTGCGTTGACCAGGAACCAAGCTGGATGGATCCCATCCTAGCTTTCAAGCTTCGGGGAGAAATTTCCGAAGACAAAATTTTGGCCTCCAAGCTGAAGCGAACCGGTTCAAGGTTCATTGTCTTCAAGGGAGAGCTGCTGAAGAAATCCTTCTCGGCCCCGTTGCTGAAGTGTGTGGGGCCGACAGATGCAGATTACATCCTTCGGGAAATTCACCTCGGCATATGTGGGAACCACATTGGGGGAAGGACCTTAGCCCACAAAGCATTAAGGGCAGGGTACTATTGGCCCACCATGATCTCAGACGCTAAGGAGTTGGTCAGAAAATGCGAAAAATGTCAAAAATTCGCACCGGTCATCCATCAGCCAGCCCAGGAGCTTCAGCCTGTGCTAAGTCCACTTCCATTTGCTCAATGGGGGTTGGATATCCTGGGCCCATTTGCGGATGCCGCATACCAGAAAAAATGGTTGATAGTCGGTGTTGACTATTTCAGTAAATGGATTGAGGCCGAGGCAGCCTCGAACATTACAGAGCAAACTGTCAGGAAATTTATCTGGAAGAATATCATCACCCGTTTTGGCATCCCGAAAGTGTTCGTCTTTGATCATGGAAGACAATTTGATAACCTGCCGCTGAAGCGGTATACAGATTAGTTCGACATCAAACTGGCATATTCAGCGGTATGCCACCCGCAAAGTAATGGACAAGCCGAAGCTGCAAATAAACAGATCCTGAATTCCCTCAAAAAGAGAGTGGAGGATCAAAAGTCCAAGTGGCTGGAGGAGCTCCCAGGAACACTCTGGTCCCTTCGGACAACCGAAAAAGAGGCAACGGGCCATTCACCCTTTGAATTGGTATATGGTGCCGAAGCCGTTCTCCCAGTGGAGATCGGCACTGAAAGCCTACGAGTGCACCACTTCTCGGCCGAGAATGAGCAACTTATGAAGAAATCTCTCAATTTCCTTGACGAAGTAAGAGACTCGGCCCGAGTAAGAATGGCTGCATACAAGTAGAGAATCAGTAAATTTTACAACCGAAGAGTCCAGGCAAGGCCTCTCAAAATTGGAGACCTTGTCCTTCGGAATGCTGTTGCAGTACAAAAAAACCGAGTTTATGGGAAACTCTCAGCTGCTTGGGAGGGACCCTATGAAATGTATGAAGAGCTTCAGCCAGGAACATACCGGCTTCGGCAGTTGGATGGAACTGAGCTGAAAAATCACTGGAATGCTGATGTACTTAAAAAATATCATGTGTAAACCCTTCGGGGCAGAACAATCTTTGTAAGTACATTTTGAATTATTAATGAAAGGCCTTAGAGCCACTATTTTCTACAAACATTTGCAATCTTTACTTTTCCACTTTTTCTTTATGCTATCTACTCTTTAAGGGTTTCCTTCGGCCCTGTCCAAAACCTTCGCCCTCAGAGCACCAGGTTTTGGATTGCCGATAAACTCGCCTTTTTAAAGAACTCTGGTCTTTCAGCTGGGGTGAAAACCTCAGTAAGACTTGTTCTACAAGGCAATGAGTCTATGGACAAATCTGGGATATTGCCTTAACTGAGCCTTGTATCCCAGATAGCCATTATTTGAAACACTGCCTTCGGTTGGCCCTGTGTTTGAGATATCCATTTTTAAGATAGACAGAAAATCAAGAGCAAAAGCATAAACTGGTAGAAAATAGACAAGGAAAACAATAATGATCTTAGAAATCTGAAGAACAAGTCTTCAAATCTCTGGGGGGGGGGGGGCAAGAAGCACAACAGATGCAGACTGCCTCAGCTGAGACCTCTAAGCTGAAGCTTTGTACTTAGCAAAAAAAAAAAAAATCAATCAATGCAAGTTCAAAGCAAGGCAATATGAGGAAATATCAAATTCATAAATACGAAATCATGCTCGGATTACGAGCTACAAACATAAGTGTTCAACCAAACTAAAATATAATATCGGCAGCCGCCCACAAGCGGAAAATAACGGCTGCCGAAATGCGTACAAGGCAAAAAGTAAATAAGTTTGTACATTGAGGCAAGCTGAAGCAAAAACAAAGGCAAAAAACAGTCAGAAGCGGCATCCATCATTTTAAGAGCACGTTGATCCGCAAGATTCTGAAGACGACTTTCTCCTGCTTAGCCCTGTGCTCGGCTTTCTCCTGCTTCAGCTGGGCAAGTGGAGTAAACTGGAAATGCTGAAGGTCATCTCACAGGTCAGGGTATGGTTGTAGACAACCTGCAAAACCAGAATCGAATTTAAGTTAATAAAAAAGTTACAAGCAAGTGGAGTAAACTGGAAATGCTGAAGGTGCAGAAACTTATTACATACCTGCACCAGCAGCCTCTGGTTGTCTCTAGCTGGATCTGGTACTGAAGGACCGGGTTCGGCAATTCCAGCGGTTGCCCGAACAGACCACTCTCGGACTTGCTCCATTTCAGATAATTCAGAGCAACCGCCGACGTAAGCCTCAGCACTTTCCCTGTATCTCCCCCAGATTTCGGCCCTAACGCCATCTGGGATGGAACACTTCTTGGCTGAGAACCCCATGTCCCCAGACTGGAAAGACTTGAAAGAGGGGAACGAAGTTGATGGAACTTCGTCCGCTTTCTCGGGCTCGGTCGTTGCCCCTCCTTCAGTACGGTCCCCTCCAGCCTGGACCCCTTCAGCCTCGCCGAGAGGTTGACTTGTCAAGGCGTCAACCTCTCGCTGAATCTCAGCAGTGAAGCCCTTAGGGGCCTCGTCTTCATCAGTAGCCGCCTCTTCGGCTACTTCAACAACTTCAACCTCAGGGAGCTCAGCAGCACTCCCCTTGTTGGAAACCGCTTCAGGAACCCCCTCCTTTGGATCAGGAGTCTGCTGGTCCACCTCCATGTCAGCAGTAGGAGGTGGTGGAGGGGTCTTCGGCGGTGATGGAATTGGCGGTGGTGGCTGAGTCGGGGGCGGAGGACCCCCTGTACCTCTTGGAACCCTACCTCGGCCAGCAGCAGGTTCCCTTATTACTACGCCAGGCATCGTCCTCAACGTGAAGTCTCCCGGACCCATAACAGCTGGGCCCGTCCTTCTTCTCTTCCTTTGCCCCAGAGGCTGGTCGTCCATATCGTCAAAATCCGAAGAATCGAGTTCTAAAAAGTCGTCTGACGATATTGGAGCCTTCCCTTCTCTCTTTCTGCCCTCTTCCTCAGACTACAGAAGTGGAGGGGCAAGGAGGGATCATAAAAAAAAAAAAAAAAAAAAAAAAAAGCAAGTGCTGAAAGCCTTACCAAAGTCCTCGGTCGAGCCTCGGCAGCACCAGAGGTCCCTTCACCCCTTTCCAGGGAGTTGATGGCTCTGGTCACTTCTGCAGCAGCCTGAGCGACGAGTACTTCTTCGGCTAGTAGGGGCCTCAGAGGATCCTGCTTCTCCCACTAAGGCTTCTGCTTCAGATAATCTGCAGCAGCCTCGATCTGAAGGCCCGTCGAGTGTAGGTGCAGCGGACGATCCTTCGGAGCAGTAATTGCTGAAGCTCGGTCTAAGATGACCCTTTCAGCGTTTACTCCTAGCCGATCGTAGTCGATTTCAGAGGTAGCCTCGCTCAACTCTGAAAGGAGAAGTTGAAGGTTAGCCTTAAGATATAGACAAAGCAAATGAAGCAATAACAAACTAAAGTCCTCGGCCCCAACTGAAGGTACTTACCGCCTCTGTGCTTTCGGCTGAAGCCGACAACTGCCAGCATCTTCTCTTGGAAGACGTAGTGGTTATCTGAAAGCCATCGGGTTGGGATGAACTTCATTCGGCCAGTCCCCCCAGGGTTTTTCTGCTTCCCGAAGAAGCTCATCTGCTCATAGCTTGGGTGGCTAGCGGCATCAGGGTCTTCGGGACCTAAATCTTTCATGTTTGGATCGGGCCTGGAGAGATAACGGGGGGCCCCAAAAAAGTAGGGGTGCTCCGGATCAGCAGGAGCCCTTACCCAGATCCACTGGCCTCTCCAGTCCTTATCCGAAGAGTCGTTCGGCCACATTGTCAGGTATTGTGGATGGCTCTCGATCCGCCACCAGCCAACCCCATGATGACCGTATACACTTTGGGTATTCTGCACCAGCTGATGCATCCTTCGGAAACAGTGCAAGTTCGGTTCAACAGCAAAGAACCGGCATACCCATAGATAGGTCATCACCCGCCGAATGCTGACGGGTGTCAACTGGCACAAGGAGATCCTGTACTTTATCAAAATGTCCCTGACGAAGGGATCTAAAGGGAACCAAAGCCCGTACTGAAGTTGCCGAGTATATACCCCCACATACCCAGGGGGAGGGCGATGAATTCTGTCAGTAGGCGAAGGCATTCGACACCAATACCCGTCTTCCTCAAGGATGCCATAATGCAACTCAATCTGTTCGGCAAACCGATAAGATTCGGCATGCCTAACCCACCAATAATAAGGGGCATTGTCCCTCATGGCTCTCTGGGCTTCGGCATTTTTCCATTCAACATGCCCGGGTAGCAAATCCCAAAGTACAGGAGGCAGATCTTCCTCCTGTTTAGCAGCCCCAGCCTCGGCACCCTACTGAGGGGCAGCCGCGTTCAAGGGGACCGCCGGAATCCCCCTTTCCGGGTCTTCCTCGACGCACTCCCCATTCCATACTTCAGCGCGGTCCCTAGGGTTCCTGGCCTGACCTCGTCTTCCAGTCCGACGAACTCTTAAGCGAGCCATTGATGAATTCGCGAGAAAGGAAGTTGGGAAAAGAGGAATTCTTTGAAAAAAACTAAGAAAATCAAAAATTCGAAGAAAAATTACCTATATGAGAATCGAAACTCGCCGATTCAGTGGGTCGGAGCAACGGGTTGAGCGTCAAGCTTTGATTTCGGGTGGGGAGTGAAGTTTCGAAGCGGAAACAATGGTCTTTTAGAGAGTTCGAAAGTGAATTGGTGAAGAAATGAGGAGAGAAATGGCGAAAGAAAATGGGAATTTCGAAAGCCAGAGTGCTTAATTTCTCTTAAAAACCTCCTTAAGTAACCGTTAAACACTCTCTCTCTTAATTAACCGCCCATTATCCACTCAACTTCCCCACTAAATATCCTAATTATAGTTATTTAGTTAATGACTGTTTAAAATTTAAATCTTTTGATTTAATTAAATCATTTACTTCCCTCCATTTTTATTGGATTCAAACCCGACCCGTCATCCTTCCAAATCGGGTCTGGGGGACAAGTTGTTTGGGTCCAATTAAGCCAATTGGGCCTAGTCATTAAATGATCCAATATTCCGAGGTCAAGGCCCAAGCCTCCTTTAAGCCAAGTCAACATAAGGTCAAGTGGTCCAAATTGTTATGTTAAGCCCATGACTATTTCCGGCCCAAGTATCATCCTTCCTTGTATGCTAAGGTATAAAAGCCTTCAATTACATCATTTGTCATTAATTCACATTAAAGCCTCAAGCATTAAATCTCTTGCATAGCTTTCTCTCTCTAAACACTGTTTGACTTCGGCATCGGAGGGGTCCTCTTCGGATCCACCCCGAGACCAGTTTACGTGTGTTTGCTGTACAGGAAATCTTCGGCCCAACATCATTTAGACCGGATTAGTCTTCATCCATTTCATTGGACCTTCGGCAAGGTCCCATTGTTTTCACCCGAAACAGGATGTAATAATAATTTTCTTTCCATTTTTTTGTGACAATTATTCAAGTGTATTTTTATTTATTTCCAAGAACGGCTCACATACCTTTCTATAGTAATGTCACATGCGTTGTGGCCATTGTGGGAGCACTCGGTAGCTATCATATAAAGATCCACTATACTTTGGTCCCAATAGATTTACGAATTAGATAGCTTTTTAAAATTTAAGCTATAAATGTAATAAATATTACAAAATTGCTGTTTTTATTACTTTGATTGTACTGTATTATTAGCAGCATGCTAGATTGCTAGGAGACTGTCTTTTTTTTTTTCTATAATTTTTTTTTACATAGTAGTAGTAGTTAGAAAGTAAATCGATTCATTTCTCACTAGTCAGTAGTCAATTGATTTTTTTTTTCTTTTAATTAAAAACTATATTACATGTTTAGCTTACACTTGTTAATCGAGTCTCATAATTTATAAATACAAAACATGTTAAATTAGAATGGTTCACTTTAGGAGTGATTTTTAGCTGTTTGCTCCGCAAGAATTAGCAAGTAAGAAAATTAAGAATTTTCAATATGCTTAATTGTACAATTCTTTATGGTTAAAATCTTCAAAATGCTTGCTTAGAATTCTCTAATCCCTTGCCCATAAACATCTTATGAATTTGAAGAGTACATAAAATATTCTCGAATAATATTCATACCTTGATCGATAGTAACCTAACATCTCTCGTTGTATTATGACAACATATCTTTGCATTATTAAATTGATGGCCTACTCTTATCTATTGCTATCATACACCTCTTTATGAAGCATTTCCTAATGTATCTAGTTCACAACTTCACAAGTTTAAGTGAACAAAAATATAAACACTTGGCAAGTTGCTTACTTAAATTTAAGGACATTACTCTAAACCAAACATTTTGAATGTTTGAGATTTTTTTGTTTTTGACGGGGAGATTAGTTGACTTACAAGGCTATATAGTTGGGCGAATCATTTGCTTTCATATGCAATTTTTTTTTTTTTTTACCTAGTCTAATTAATTAGCAATATTTAATTAATAAAATGGCTATCATCTCAAGTGGATTTGGTAGTTGAGCTATGTAACGTGGGTTATCTATTGAGTAGTTGTTGACAAGCCCTATAAATTTGATGTGATATGATAAGAATTATACTCATAATGTGTCCATTATTTGTCCATTAGCACATCAACTTTGTTGATAAATCACTTTTGACAAGGAATGGCACATAAATTCAAGATAGATTGTGGATTAATTATTTATTGTTCATGGTCATGTATATGTTAAGTTAGTCTATAATAGTATAATCTATTCTAGCAGCTTCATTATCGAGTATTTAAAAGAGAGTCGAGTTATTAAGAATTTAAGTTTTTCTAACCTAATTACTATATGTTTACCTTTCTTGTGAAATGGGTTGCGGTGTACGTAAATAGATAAAATATATGATTAAGATTTGAAGCCTAGAAACACTGGGTTTTGCAAATGTATTTTAGAGCATTAGTTTTACTACATACGCATGTGATTGATGTATTCAAGAATTCATTAATTGTGTCATTGATGAGAGTGACAGATAGCTCAAGTGGTCAGAGCTTCTCTCCCGATTTTAGGAGAATTTGGGTTCGATTCTCATCCCCGCCCCTGTGGCTAGAGCTGTCAAAAGTTAACCCGACCCGAAATACCGACTCAAACCCGATTATTAACCGACCCATATGAACCCGAAAAAATGATGACCCAAATTCGACCTGAAACCAACCCTAGACCCGAGTATGTGAGACCCGAACCTGAATATGAATTGACCTAGAGATGACCTGACCCGAATGTAACCCGTAAATTATTGACCTGAACTGAACCCGACTTGAACCGAAATAGATCCAAACCCGTTTTAACCCGTCAAAACCCGAATTTAACCCGAACTGTTACGAACCTGACCTGAATTCAACCCGACCGGTTCCTAAAACGACCTGAATTTAACCCAACATGTTACAAACCCGACCCGAAATCAACCCGACTTGTTATTTTGAATCGACCCGACCAGACCCGAATTTTACCAGACCTCTTACTAACCCGAACCAAAAACTCAACCCGATCTGTTACTAACCCGACTCGAAATCAACATGACTTGTTATTGACCCGACCTAAATTCAACCGAAATTGTTCCTGACCCGATTTCAAATCACCTTAAATGCAATTTAGACCACATTATTATTGTTGATCAAAGCATTTTGTCTTGGGAGACCAAGTTGGTTTAGGCCAGCAAAAGAAAGGAGCATCATCCTCAAATTTAAGAGTTAAATATAGTATATATTTGTTGTATGGTCAAAGGAGATTATTATCTTCCTAAATTATAGACTATACTTCCCTAGTATATTGCCATATATATTATAGTCAAAGGAAATAATTAGCTTGACAAAAATGATAATTATCTATTTATAGTTAGTTAAACTCGAATATAACCTGACTTGGAAATGACCCCACCTGATTGTAACCTACAAATTATTGACTTGAACATAACCCGACTTGACTCCGAGAATAAGCCAACTTGGAAATGACCCAACCTGATTATAACCCGCAAATTATTGACTTGAGCCAAACCCGACTTGAACCTGAGAATGACCCGACTTGAAAATGACCCGCCCTGATTATAACCCACAAATTATTAACTTGAACCAAACCCGACTCAAACCCGAGAATGACCCGACCTGATTCTAACCAGCAAATTATTGACTTGAGCCGAACCCGACTCGAACCCGAGAATTACCCTAATCCGTTTTAACCCGTGAAAACCCGAATTAAACACGGCCTATTGTTCAATCGACCCGAATGTAACCCGACTTGTTATTAAACCGACCTAAACCCGACACAAACCCGATAAGAAGTATGATTAAGCATGACCTAACCCAAACTCGACCTGCATTGGTTATGGAATTACTCCGAATTGAGCTGATTCGAGTTGACCCGATTCAGTCTTACCGACCCAAACCCGACCCGTTTACCCGAATTGACAGCTCTACCCGAAACCTCCAAAATTTCTTAAAAAGTGTGGATATTAGCCTTCAATTTTTGAATTTTTTGACTTTTTTTCACTCGGAAATAAAAATTGCCGAAATGTTTACCATGGACCCTAATACCCTTCGGGATTCCAATTGGGTGGGTGGAACCATCCAATTTGCCTTTAAACGACTAATTTACCAGCTTACAACTTGTACCGATTTCATTAACTCAAGCTTACCACGAACATTTATGACAACATATAATGATAATATATGGATCCTAAAGGTATTATATGACCCCGAGATGTATCCCCTAAAATCTCAATGCTTTTCGACACCGGGCCCCAAAACACTCGAAATTTCACAAAAAGCGTGGATATTAGCCTTCAATTTAGGAATTTTTTATTTTTTTTCGCCCGGATATAAAAATTTCCGAAATGTTTACCATGGTCCTAAATACCCTGCATGAGTCCAATTAGGTGAGTGGAACCATCCAATTTGCCTTTATACGACCAATTTACTGGTTTACAACTTACACCGATTTCATTAATTCAAGCCTACCATGAACATTTATGACAACAAATAATGATCATATATGGTTCCAAACGACATTATATGACCCCGAGATGTATTCCCTAGAATTTCAAGACTTTTCGACACCGGGCCCCGAGGACTCCAAAAATTCTCAAAAAGCGTGGATTAGCCTTCAATTATTGATTTTTTTGACCTTTTTCGCCCGAAAATAAAAATTTCCTAAATGTTTAACATGGTCTCTAATATCTTCCAGGAGTCCAATTGGGTGGGTGGAACCATCCAATTTGCCTTTAACGACCTATTTACCGGCTTACAACTTGCGCCGATTTCATTAACTCAAGCCTACCACAAGCAATTATGACAACATATAATGATCATATATGGTTTCAAACGGAATTATATGACCCCGATATGTATTCCCAAAAATTTAAAGGCTTTTCGACACCGGGCCGCAAAACCTCCAAAATTTCTTAAAAAGCGTGGATATTAGCCTTCAATTGTGTAATTTTTTGACTTTTTTTCGCCCAGAAATAAAAACTGACGAAATGTTTACCATGGTCCCTAATATCCTCCGGGATTCAAATTGGGTGGGTGGAACCATTCTATTTTCCATTAAACGACTAATTTACCAATTTACAACATACACCGATTTCATTAACTCAAGCCTACCACGAACATTTATGACAACATATAATGATCATTTATGGTTCCAAACGGCATTATATGACCTAGAGATGTATCCCCTAAAATCTCATTTTATTTCGACTCCAGCCCCGAAACCTTCGAAATTTCTCAAAAAGCATGCATATTAGCCTTTAATTTTGGAATTTTTTAGTTTTTTCGCCCGGAAATAAAAATTGCCTAAATGTTTAACATGATCCCTAATACCCTCTGGTAGGGGTGGAAATTCGGGTTAGTAGGTCGGGTTCAGGTCAGATTTCGGGTTATGGTTAGAAACAATAAAAAAAAATAGTGTAAAACTTAATATTATTATGAAATATGAAATTTTGGTCAAATCGGGTCGAATTCGGGTTATTCGGGTTTGTATTGGGTTCCAGTTTCTCTTAGTAAATTCGGGTCGGGTTCGTTCGGGATATCGGGTCGGGTTAAGGATTGCCAGCCCTACCCTCTGGGAGACCAATTGGGTGGGTGGAATCATCCTATTTGCCTTTCAACGATCAATTTACCGATTTAAAACTTGCGCCAATTTAATTAACTCAAGCCTACTAAAAAAATTTAAGACAACATATAATGATAATATATAGTTCCAAACGGCATTATATGACCCCGAGATGTATCTCCTAAAATCTCAAAACTTTTCGATACCGTACCTCAAAACATCCCAAATTTCTCAAAAAGCGTGGATTTCAATTTTGGATTTTTTTTTTATTCGGAAATAAAAATTGCCGAAATATTTACCATTGTCCCTAATACCGCCGGGAGTCTAGTTGGGTGGGTGGAACCATCCAATTTGGCTTTAAAAGACCAATGTACCAGTTTACAACTTGAACAAATTTCATCAACTAGCCTACCACTAACATTTATAACAACAAATAATGATCATATATAGTTCCAAACGGCATCATATGACCCAAGATATATCCCCTAGAATTTCAAGACTTTTTCGACACCGTGCCCTGAAACCTCCAAAATTTTTCAAAAAATGTGGATATTAGCCTTCAATTTTGGAATTTTTTGACCTTTTTTTGCCCGGAAATAAAAATAAATCAAAATTGCTAAAATGTTTACCATGGTCCCTAATACCCTTTGGGAGTTCAATTGGCTGGGTGGAACCATCCAATTTGCCTTTAAACAGCCAATTTACCGATTTACAACTTGAACCGATTTCATTAATTCAAGCCTACCACGAACATTTATGACAACATAGATAATATATGGCTCCAAATGAAAATATATGACTCCAAGATATATCCCCTAAAATCTCAAGCCTTTTCGACACCGGGACCCCGAAACCTCCAAAATTTCTCAAAAAACGTGGATATTAGACTTCAATTTTGGAATTTTTTGACTTTTTTTCGCCCGGAAATAAAAATTGCCGAAATGTTTACCATGGTCCCTAATACCCTCCGGGAGTCCAATTGGGTGTGTGGAACCATTCAATTTGCTTTTAAATGGCCAATTTTCCAGTTTACAACTTATATTGATTTATCGGTTTACAGCGGCCAATTCAATTAACTTGCACCGAACCCAACTTGAACCGAAATTGACCCAAACCCATTTTAACCCGTCAATACCTGAATTTAACCCGACTTGTTACGAACTTGACCTAAATTCAACCCGATCTGTTACTAACCCGACTCGAAATTAACACGACTTGTTATTGACCCGACCTAAATTCAACCCAAAATTTTCCTGACGACCTGATTTCAATTTACCTTAAATGCAATTTAGACCACCTTATTATTGTTGATCAAAGCATTTTGTCTTGGGAAACCAGGTCGGGTTGGGCCAGCAAAAGAAAGGAGCATCATCCTCAAATTTAAGAGTTAAATATAGTATATATTTGTTGTGTGGTCAAAAGAGATTATTATCTTCCTAAATTATAGACTATACTTCCCTAGTATATTGCCATATATATTATAGTCAAAGAAAATAATTAGCTTGATAAAAATGATAATGATCTATTGAACTCGAATATAACTTGACTTGGAAAAGACCCGATGTGATTGTAAACAGCAAATTATTGACTTGAACATAACCCGACTTGAATCCGAGAATGACCTGACTTGGCAATGACCCAACCTGATTATAACCCGCAAATTATTGACTTGAACCCGATAATGACTAGACTTGAAAATGACCCGCCCTGATTATAATCCGCAATTATTGACTTGAATCGTACCCGACTCAAACCCGAGAATGACCCGACCTGATTCTAACCCGCAAATTATTGACTTGAACCGAACCCGACTCGAACCCGAGTACCGTGAAAACACGAATTAAACCCGACCCGAATGTAACCCAACCTGTTATTAACCCGACCCAAACCCGATAAGAAGTATGACCCGACGTGACCTGACTCAAGCATGACCCAACCCAAACCCGACCCGCATAGGTTATGGAATTTATCTGAATCGACCCGGCCCGAGTTGACCCGACCCACTCTTACCCGACCCGTTTACCCAAATTGACAGCTCTACCTGTGGCTCTATAAAAAATTAAAAAATTAATTGTGTCATTGATAGGGTAATTGAACAAATATGTAAATGCGACAAGACTGACAACCAAAAAAGGAAAAAAGATGAAAGACAGAAAGATCATTACAAGAAGATACAATCATATCCAAAACAAAAGTACTACCTCCGTTACATATTATTTGCAACGATTAGACAGTTTCCCTCGCTACTTTATGTCAAAACATTGCAAATAATATGTAACGGAGGTAGTATTTACGGAACAACAAGTTTCACATAATCAACAAAAATTAAAGTATATGATCTCCAAAAAATATTAGAAACCTCATAAAATAAGGAAAGTTTTACAGCTTGAAAATGGTTTGTCCAAAATTTTCCTGCACCTTCCACTAAAATTCACTTGGAAGTAGAATATAATCTAAAATGCAGTTCAGGGATTGTAAAGCTGTAACTGCAGACGGAAATCGTTCCTCCGAGTGTTACCAAGTGATCCCACTACCCTGAATGCAGGGCACAATGCTCTTACAAAGGACAGTTAACCATTAGGCTTCAGAAGTAATTTGTGTACTAGGTAACCAACTGATGTATGAATGAAGAGATGCAAGTAATCTTTTGTTATGAGTTAAAAACTCGAGTGACCAGGTGAATAACCAGCTTGTTTGTGTTTACTCCTATTCGGCTTCTGTGATAAAGGTTGTGATTGGTACTGCTTGTCTGCAGTAATCCTTGCAGTATGACCACGCCAACTTAGAGATGAAGTTCCATTCACATTCACTTTACCCTTTGCTTTCCCTGCAGAACATGCATTTGGTTCAGTGTAAAACTCTGATGTATGAGATAAAAAAATATGGGTGTAAAGATGAATTAGCAGTGCAGTTAAATCATATTGGTATGACAGTAAACATACAAAATCAAAATCAAACAATCTTAGCTGCACATAGTGCTGACCTGGATCTTTGGTCGTTCTGACACTACTAGTTTTTCTCAGAAACGGAACCTTCTTATCTGGGACTTTCTTTTCCGAGCTCTCAGTACATGCCGGTCTTGTTTCAATGTGAGTTTCAAAGGAATGTGACGTATTGCAGCTTTTCAAAGGAGAAGGCCGTTTCTTTTCAGGAATATTTGTGCAGACTGATCTTGTATGTTGTGCTACCAAAGATGAGCGACCTGCTGCTAAGCTGTTTGCTTTCCTTAAACGTGAAACTTTCAAATCCGGGGTTTCCACAGACACAGACCTTGCATCATGTGTTTGCAAGAATTGGTCGTCTGTGGTTATGCCATTGACCCTCCTCAGAACTGAGAGTCTCTTCTCAGGAATCTCTAAGCACAATGACTGCGTGTCGTGGGCTGGTGATAATGAGTCTTCTAATACATTGTCAATCTCATCCATAGGAGATCCAATAACCACCTCACTATGTGAATCCCAGCTCTTGTCTTTACTGATCCCATTGAGCTTCTCTTTCTCTGCTATTCTGTAAGAAAACAACTGAAATGGAATCAGTGAAACAGGAGTTACCGCAGCACTAGCCTCTGATGGGAACTTCTTCATGAACCCGGCTTCTATATCACAAAAATCTACTTGAACTATTGATGGAATCTCAGGTTCTGCTAGATGAGGGTTCATCACAATCAGCCTCTTGACATAACGTAGTATCCTACAAATTGAGGAGAAACCTGGTCTCAGAGTTGGATCAGTTTGCCAGCACCTTCTAGTCAAATTTGCAAGATACTTGGGCAAAGCAAACGGGAATAAAGGCCGTTCTCCTGCCTTTATATTTCTACTCATTTTATCTCCCTGAAGGTGGCCATCTTCGAAAGGAACTTTCCCTGTCAAAAGCTCAAAACAAAGCATCCCAAAGCTGTAAACATCGGCTTTCTCAGAGTACTTGTATTTTCCACTGCTCCCTGGCCTTTCTTGTTCAGTTAACACCTCAGGGGCATGCCAAATAAAAGTGAAAACTTCATTTTGGTTTGGTGGGGGGACTCTAGCAGGCATAGTTTTAACATTCTTCAAACCAACACCAGAGATTTTCGCATGAAAGTAACCATCTGAAGATGAATTTCTAGGCTTGATAACAACATTTGAAGGGTTCAGATCTCCATGATAAATCTTCTTAGAGTGAAGGTATTCCATGCCTCTCGCAATCTGAAGCATGATGTCAACTGCAGCTGGGAAAGAAAAAAGCATCCGTCTTTTTGAACTAGAAACCTCCTTTATATGGCTTCTAAGATCCTTGCTCATCACCTCCATCACAAGGAAATACTCTTTTTTTTCCTCGTCGTGGAATCCACAAAGATACTGGACTACATTAGGGTGGGAAAGAGAGAGCAGAAAAGAAATCTCTGCATTCAATAAGGAAGGCTCCCCAAAAAAGTGTCTCAAAATAAAACTCTCCCCTAACCAATGTATCTCTTTAATCTGCATTCCTATACATATGCGCCTTCTCACATGATAATCCTTTGCTCCAGTTAAAATAGAGCTATGAAAGAGCGATTCTTCCCCATTCATCTTCTTCATAAGCAAGTCACTGAGCCGTTGATCTTGCTTACTCATAGTGAAAGAAGGCGAAACCTTCTTCTCCTTAATCATTTCGACCAAAATCCATTGATCTTCTTTCCAAACATTGCACATCCTATGCAAAATATCTTGGGAAATTAAATATTGTTTCCCATATTTCCACATGAAAAGCTTTGGATCATTCCATGTCATATCATACTTGTTAGACAACATGATCCTCTTCTTCTTCATCTCATCTAAGTCGAGCCCTGATATTTCCCCTGCTGTTTCAATCGCCTCAACAACGATTGCAAAGTAGCAAAGCAAGTTATGCACATGAAATTCAACAGCATCTCGATTATTATGTAAGTGCAGGGCCTTAACCCACCAATCCTTAGAACAATCCATGCATTGTTTCACATACGATTCTGCTTCTTTAAATACTCTATAAAGCTCCTTTAAAGGTTGATGTAACGCTTTCCATTTCGTGTTCTTCTCTTCTAACCTAAGGTTCAGCTTAATTTCTTCTGATAATGTTTCAAAGGCTAAGTTAAACATGTCAAACAACAAACTGCACTGTCTTCTGTTTATCTGAGCATCGCCTTCTAATATCATCAAGGCCTTCATGCTTCCTAAAACTTCCCCTATTTGCCTGAATAGCTCCATGTTTATGTTTTCTCCAATGAAAACAAAACTTTACAAAAACAGGAAAAGTGTTTCTTTTGTGATCAAATTTTCTGGGTGGTTATTTTAGATTTTGTATTATGTTACGTAACAAGAAAAGAAATCTAGGCTACGTCTCTATGATCAAACCAGCCTAACTCATCCTTTCCGATTACAAGATAAACACATCATTATATGAGGAGAACCAATACACCTTGGTATGATTGTTGTGGCAGAGATTTAGAGATTCACCATGAAGTCTGGCCGCCTAATTAACAATTAGTCTGGGTCATTTTTCAAACAAATGCTCTGTAATAAAATGTATGGATGATCATAAGAAATTGTGCAATGTAATACCTATTAATCAATGTATAATGCAAACAAAAATGCAAAAAGATGAGTATAGAACAATATGTGATGATCATATAATATGAAAAGGCTAGGAACAAAATTATAATAAATACCTGTTGATCAATGTGTATGTAACCCTGAAGATTTTTGTAAAACGGATTAAAATTAATTATTAGTTGATTGTTTTGTCAGACTTCCATCAAGAAAAAGAGTTACTAATAGAAGAAATTAAGATAAAAATAAAAAATGTATCTTCTCAAAAAAAAAAAGAAAAAAAAGTGTAATCTGGAAATCTAATAAATTAGAATCAGACTTAAATGAAAATTAGTTGCCAAATCACAGGTGGGGAAGAGAGAGATAATTTGAATCTAGAAATTCTGAATTGAACGACAGCAAATTTTAAAACTTTTGTATTCGAGGATTAGAGGGAAATATATTTGTATGTGTTAAAATAGACTTTTTATGACCGCTTGTTTTCCAAATTCCGAAATTACACCGTTGGTAAAATATCAATACTTCGTCCCCTTTTTTTTACATAACATATTTAGTATGAAGTATTTCGGTTATTATTACTCGATAAAATTGAACATAAAAAGAAACGTATAATGTTTCATTAAAGAGAGGCATTTGTTTTTTTTTGGTGTTTAAAGAGCCACGAGGGCGGGGTGAGAACTCATTAAAGAGCGGCATTTGTAACTTAACTTTTTTATTAGTTTTACAATTACTTTGACCATTACGTGATAGGCAGTTAGGCACCTCTTGCTAATCCTCCGGGGCGTTAAATAATCTTCTAAAATGGTTTCTAATTTGAAAATACGGAGTACATGTTAAAATCACGCATCAAACGGTGTAATTAATTCTTCATTTAACCAAAAAAACAATTGCTGTAGTCATCTCGTGAATGATTGGTTAACATACACCATCGTAAAATTAAATCTGTCAGATTTAATCCATTATAAATTTGCTTAATAAACCAATTAAAAATAAAACATCAATTTTATTGCTATGTATATAAAGTCTTGTGAGATACAACGATGGAGAGAGATAGTCATCAACGAGCTTGACAAGGGAGAAAAGATTGACGAATAGGCATTAGATCTGGTAGCAAATTAGAGAGGGGGGGGGGGGGGCGTCATGTATGGTACATGAATTGAAAAGGTGACATCTACACTGCAATGCTTTGAAATATACACTGCAATGCTATGCACAAGGGTCAGGCTAAACCATAGGTGTGACAAGAGCAAGTCTTTGGTCAACTGGTCTAGCCCGTCGCATAACCCATTAATCCAGCAGAGCAGTTACAGATACTGCTGCTACTCTGAAATTAGTATCAATCCTGAACAGTAGCAGAACATAAGTAATACGAGTGCCACCAGCACCGTAGTGAGGCAATGTGACACAATCACTCAGGTTTTGATCAACCACGTTAACACTTGATAATATACCCAAATTGAAAAAGTAGTTTCTTAAAGACTAGTTGGGTGATTACTGATAAAATCAAACAACTACCAAGTAACAATACAACAACCAAGTATTAATCCTGCTAAGAACTCCAAATAAGACATACCCCATGGAGAAAGAACGGAATAAGAAAGAAAATGGAAACTCGGTCCATCCAAAAGACCGACCCTTTATATGTAGCCACTCCATAAAATTGTTCCAATATATGTATAGCATTAAATAAAAGGAGCATTATCATCATAGCACACACACGCAGCAATGGAAGCAGGAACTCCCTGCTTTAAGCCATAATAAAAGATTAATGGAACTAACCAAGCGAATAAACCATTCTTTCTGAGAGATGTGGCCCAACGACCTTCATGTATCTCAACAATTGGTTTTTCAGTTGTAATTGACCAGAGCGAAGAGCATGTTGAAATTCCTTCAATCGACGAGAAAAGAAAGTCAAACAAAGAAAAATGAACAGACACAATGTCAACTACACAATCAAAGTGAAACCAACCTAAAAGAAGCCACTACACGATCAAAGTGAAACCAACCTAAATGATATTCAATTTTTTTATAAAAAAAAAAAAAATTAAAAAAAATATCTCCACCCAAATCAAAAAGAATGCGACTAAAATCAACATTCTCAATGGGAGTTGAGGCAAGATCATTGGTTTCAAATGATTGTTCATCTTCTGATGAACCAGAATCAAGCATGTTCTCCTCACCCCCCACATAAGAGTCATTAAAATCTTCATCACCGGGGTCATCATGCTGCTGATCCAAATGCTTTCCTGGTTCTTGGGTCGACATTGGGTCCCCGTTTTCCATGTTGGCATAATCTGACAATACAGCATACCGTGATCTGTCAAGCAAAGCTTTTGCAACATCATATGGAACCCACCTACAAAAATAATCAAGTACTGTTAGGGAAAAGAAATTATTAAATACTTTGTAAATACTATAACCAAAATCTTCAAAGCAAGAAAACAGACATAGCTATGCAGGTTTAAAATGTCCAATTGTCAACAGAAAAGAATATTTGCTCCTAATGCTTAAGCTTATCACCCAACCTGAATCCTCTCCCCCAGTACCCCCCATCCCTCAAGAACAGAGAGACAAGCCCAACCTGCTTTTCATTGTCATACCACAAAGACCTCAAATACATGGAAAAAGAAGACCTGAAAGTATGCATAATTGAACAGCAGAGAATTTTTCTCAGACACAGGCACCAAGGAAGCACTATGCAAATGATAAATCTATTATGGAGAGAGAGGGAGAGAGAGAGAGAGAAAAAAAAGAGAGAGAGAGAGAGAGAGCAATACAGCAACTCCATATCCTAGAGGATTTATGAATGAAACACCATGCCAGTTATCATATTCAGGGGGGAAAAAAAAAACTTACTCGTAACGAAGAGGACATAAAAGTTCTGATGGCCAATAAGCAGCTTTATATCTCATTTTGCTGCAGGAGTGAATGTAATAACCAAGATAATAGTATTGAAGACTAGGACAATGCCGTTGGTTTACTTTTACACAATTTATCTCTTGCAAGGCAGAGTATTTACCAAGTGATAAAAAAGCAAAATCAGGATCCCAAAATAGATATTTGCTTGACAAGCTCTTAGGAAGGATATCTATTACCCCAACAGCAATGAGCCGCCCATCAATCCGATACTGTTGATGGAATGCACCAAATCCACAAGAAGGAACAGTATCATCACCAGTTGGAGGAACATATATCAAGGGTGAATCAACAAGAAACCTTTGATAAGACCCCGGATTGATATCACCAGGTTCATCATTGTGAACTTTTATCTGATATTTTCTATACAAGGCAAACTCTTCTGGATCAAAACTCGACTTATTTAAATGGATTTCCAGTTTCCGCTTCTTTCTCTGAGGGTTTTCAGGTATCATGACATGTCCTTTACTTTCTTGCATTGGAGATTCTCTGGACATTCTAACTTGATGAGACTCTTTATCAGAACGGACCTCCTTTACCGCAGAGTAGAAGTTTAAGTGTCCATTGCAGGCTTTTATTGATAGATTAGGTACTTCTACAAGATGCTGCAAAGCATTTGCCAACTCTTCTGAAATATCTTTGGGGGATAAATCATATGAAGACCCTATTACAGCCAAACTGTCTTTCTTTGTCCCGACATCATTGGCATCTGACTTTGTCCGTCTCAATGTAGCTGCTAGCTGAAATGAAATACTGCTTGTATATAAGAGATCTTCTGATCTGTCAACCAACCGTCTCTTTTTGGTCTGGAAAATTTTTTTACAATACCTTTTGGATATTGAATATCACATGGTAAATCCTTACTTTTAACAAATGATTGGATGGCAACATCTATTTGCTTGGATAGATAATCCAATAGCTCCTCATCCTTGGTACTCTGCTCATGTCTTCCTAGAGATTCCGTTTGTGATGAGCTGGACAATGTATCACCATGAGCATGTACTTGTGACTCCCCGGATTTATCTACAAGTTCTTGTTTTTTACCATCCCATAATCCGTCAAGGTACCTACCCATTGATTTCATATAGACCAGCAGACAGCGGAGAAAAAAACAATAGAAGTTGAAGACTATTATCATCAGGCCAGGGAAAGGAAAAGGTTGGCATCACTGTATGGCACATTCACCAACTCGTGCAAAAGGAAATCACATATGGGAAAGGTATTTTAGTTAAGGAATAAAAGATGCCAGAAGGCCCAGAACTCCAGAAGTAAGCAGTGGTTAATTAAATATCAAGTATTCTTTCAAAAAAAAAAAATTAAATATCAAGTATTTCAGATTAGAGTCTCTAGCTACATGGGTGTTGTCCCATTATTAACTCTGTGCATAGATTTTAAAATTCCTTGTGCTAAACTTTTTCCAATATTTGTTAAGAAATGAGAAGATTTGAAGATAAACATAATTAAAAAAAAAAATTTAAGCTATGAAGAAAACAATTAAGGCTGCATTCACATAAACTCCACATTAAATTGAAGTATGAGAAACATACCTTTGCATTCTCTTAGACACCCGAATTTGTTCTTTAGAAGGCGAAAATTTATCAGCTTTCAGTCGTATGGTATATTCAGGGCAGCATGTTGTTTCCATCAGGTTTGTACAGATAACAGCCGGATCTTCTCCAACCTCGGTCCAGGAGATCTGAGAAAGATGCATCAAAGAACCCAGTGTAATTGCAAAACAAATCCAAAGCACTAGCAACTAAGAGTAGATGCTTAATCCTTTGCAGGGCAATTCAGCAGGCCAATTAAAATCCACAAGAAAATTTCCCCAATTTGTGCAACAAAGCATATTCACACTTGAGCCACACGAAGCCCTCATCCTATTTGGGCAATGAATACTAATGTCATGTCCACATCTTAACACAATTCAAATCATTATAGATCTTAGATACAGACGGTTGGATCGACTATCACAGGTACAGGGGCAATCATAAAGGCATCTCTCTACATCATCATCAAATTTTCCATTTCTTTACAAATAACTCAAACATGGAACTAGGTAAGAAGGGTATTTCCCTGCTCAATTTCTGTTACAAGAAAAACACAGAAAATATATGCACTTGAGATACTACAGGATAATGGTTCAGAGTTTCCATTATGTTTGGCATCTCTTCGATCTTCAATTACTTTTTAAAAAGCTCATTTTTTAACAAGGAAATCAAGCACTAACTTAACCATGTCAAAACATCATTACACCTCAATGATGCAAGAATGAAAATACCATAAACATAAAGGAGATAATCAATCCCTTATACTAGCACAAATCTCAGCCACATGATTTTATTAACTAAGACTGTAAGACAAGATACAATTATAATTATGACAAGATGCAAAGATACCAACCTTGATAATCATAAACTGTAAGGTTCTTTGCCCATAAACCTGCAAAAAAAAAAAAAAAAAAAAAAAACTGAATTTTCGAGTGTATAAAGAATCATCACAGATGTTACAAACATGATCTTCTAAATTATACATTCTACAAAATATGTGTATCAACATTACAAAAAAGAATCCATCCTTTCTACTCGTATTTATCAGATAATCGTATCCATATCTTATAATTCAAGGCAACTACCAGTTTCCTACATGTTTGTAAGATATTTTAATTTCAACATCATTTTTCTCCACAGCGTTTGTAAGATGACTAGAACTATCACTCCTACTGATACATAAGTGATTCATGTTTCTTCGAGTTTCAAACATCGAGGCCGAATAATGCTCCAAGTCTACAACACTTAGATACATTGCCTTTTCTACCGTCTAATTTGTCAATGTGTATGAACAAATCTTACATTTACCCACAAAATAAACACAAATCATCTACTTGTATTAAATACATAAAACCACGCAAAATCGTAAATTATTCCACGAAATAAGAAGAAATCATCAGTTGATCACATCGTCAATCCGCCATAGTTCAAATTTACAATGTAAATGTCATTAAAATGCCATGATTATTCACAGATCAATTAGGTAACATTACATTAGATTAAAAAACATGATCAAGCAAATAATTCAGCTTAATTTCAAAAATTAATCAGAGATTAGAGATAAACCATGAGTGACACTGGAGCGAAGGCCGGATTTACAGTAACCGCAGGTGGAGCGACTCCTTCCGTAGTCAACAACGACGCTATCGCCGCCGCTGCTGCCGCTACTCGCTCCACTTCTCCTCATTCCTTTACCTCAAAATTCAGAATTACAACTACGAATTTGGATTACAAAAATAAAATTTCCTGAATTTGAAGATCAGAATTTCTAATTGATTGGATTTGATTTGATTACTTTGGTTGTCTGAAAAATTCAATTGATTAAACCCTCATCAGTTGTGTTTTCTGATTTATTTTGGCCTTGGAATAGAAATTGAGATATGCTGACTTTATTGTATAGCTTTTGAAATTATATGAGAGGTGAAATGTAGAAAATGGAAGTCTTTTTAAATGGAGGTTGTAATTTTATTAGACTAGTGTTCAGCTGGTCAAAAGGGCCGGAAAGAAAACGAGTTTTGGAGGAGGAAGGAGAAAATATGAGATGATGCGCTCATTTTTATTTTTATTTTTGACCGGTAAACTACGGGGAGGGGGCCCATCCTATCACAGGAATGGGCTCCCAGGGGTGTTCAAAAATATTCGGTCCGAAATATCCGATCTGAAAATTCGATGATCCGATCCGGTTTTTAAGG